AATACAAAATAGGGTCGGTGATGTGGTTCAGTGGTCGAGTGCCTTAGTTCAATTCCCAGTAACCTCCCAAAATAATAATAAAATGTAATTATAAATTAAAAGTAAATAAAATACTCCCCTACTGACAGGTAAATAGCCATTTCCGTGAGGCCAGCCTTCCCTATAAAGTCCACCAGGGCCTTACTCCTTCCATTATTTATTCAGTTGATTGACATTTTGAACACTTTTGGATGAACAGTCATGACTATGACCATTTTCACGATGAGGAAAACTGAGCTTCGAAGAGATTATGGAATGATGTAGCCCATGTCATCTGTTGGGATAATCCTAGTATTGGGACTGAAAGGAAAACAAATTGTTCTCTAGAGTCACACTCTGACACCAACAGTTCTGCATTTTTCCCATACCAAGCAATTCTCCCGTCCTCTGCAGAAACCAACTAGGTAGCCCACAATTTGGTTCAGTTCTGACATGACCTACCTAGAGTTCGTGTCAGATGCCACAAGAGGAAGGGCTCAATCCCACCAGACTGTCCCCACTTCAGATGCCAATCATGATTCTGATTGTCACCTGCACTTCAGACCGGCCAGCTATAGATCAGGGGTCCCAACAGGCTCCTCTTCAGTTTTAATAATTTGTTATAATGGGTCAGAAAACTAGAACATTTGTATAATTCCCTGACTTATTATAAAAGATATTACAGACGCTATGGATCAACAACCAGACGAGGCATATATAGAGCAAGGTGTGGAGGAAGGAGCACAGAGCTCCAGGTGCACCCCCTTCCAGCACCTCCACTTGTTCCCCAACTAGAAAGCTCTCTGAACGCCCTCATCAGGGTTCCTTGATTAGATCATTGGCGACTGAACGCAACCTCCAGCCCCTTTCCCCCAGAAGCTAGTAAGAGGCTTGGAAAATTCCAACTGTGTCATCACCTGGTTGCTTCCTCTTCTTCTGCCTCATTAGCATAAACTCAGGTGTGGCTGAAATGGACTCATGGTGAACCCAACAACAATACTCAGGAAATTCCAATATTTATTTCTTATTATGCCACAATCTTCCAGGGAACATAAAGTCATCTAATTCAAACCAACCTCTTCATTTTCTGGGTGGAGAGACCCAGAGGGTTTGAGGGGCATGCCCTAGACCACATGGCTGGCTGGGGTGGCTCTATCAGGGCACGTGGAACATGCATCTCGGGGATGTCACCTTCCAGAATGGAGGGTGCCGTGAGGGGAGCAGGGACAGAACTGCCACCTTCCTACCTGGCCCCTCTTGTGTTTGGGGCACAGAGAGGTGTTGAAATTCGTCAGGTTCAGCATAAAATGTGAAGCCTAGAAGACTGCGGTCATTGACAACAGGACTGGTGGGTTAGTGATTATGGAAAAGGCGGAGGTAGGTAGAGGCAGGAGCAGGGGGGATGGGACCTTTGGACCTGAGGTGGGGAATGGGGAGCAGGTGGGGGCCAAGCTGCAGCCTGAGCTGGGGAAAGACAAGGAGAGAACCAGCAATTCCTGAATGCTTGCTCTGTGCCTGATGCTTTGTCAGTGTTGGTTCATGGAATCCCCCAGAATGGGCCTTTGGAGGAATAATTTTATTCTCACAGGCCAAGCAATGACGAGAACACTTTTCCCAGTCCTTAAACTAGCAGGAGCGAGACAGACTTCTCCCGGATCTTCTCTTGCTCTCACATGTGATTCCCCAGCCAGGCTTTCTACAGTTGAGGAACCTCAAAGGCTGAAGACCTAGGTCTGGGGGAGGAGGTGGGTGCTGAGCCTGGGGACCATCAATAAGGCCATTAATAAGGTGTGACTCACGGAGGTGTCTCTGAAATTCCCCATGAGTTTCCGATCTGTAGGTGGTTTTGCAAGAGGCAGGTCAGAACCTGGGGGGAGGGGGGAGAGGAGGAGCCTGGTGGTGGCCCTTCATGCCTTGTTGCCCAGGGGAAAATGGCCATTTTACATTTCAATTAGACAGGGCACTGGGTCAATCAGCAGCTCCACTAGAGGAAAACAGTCCAGCCCAGCCCTAGGCCTCTCCAATTACTATTAATGAACTGACTCTCAGAGCGCCAACCTTTTTATATGCAAACCAGGTTTTAAGGAGTCTCTGCTAATCGGGACTCATTAGAGGGCACCTAAGAAGCCCCCGTGAGAGATGGCACAGGGCACAGCTGAGAGATGCTTTGGCTCCCGCCCATGTTCTGGATGGGAACAGTTGAGCCCCAAGCAGAGGTCGAGCCTGGCAGGAGGCCTCAGGGCTCCCCACACAGGGACATCCTTGCTGACCAACCTCCCCACCCCGGGGCGGTCCTGTCCTCTGTGGAAACTTGCTCTTCCATGACGGGACAGAAGGTGACTTGAGCAGTGGGCCCCTGAGTTCGTCTGCTGATGCTGAACCACGGCTGTTCCTCTCCCTGCCTCAGTTTCTCCTGTGCAGAGCAGAAGGGGTCCACTAGGTCAGTCAGGGGACTCTGAAAGCAGGAGCCTGAGTGGCAGCAGGTTGGTGCAGGAGGTGAAGACACTTCCCGACTCCCGCTCCGAGTGCTTCCAGCTCCCTGGAAGGAGAGCTGCTCTGGCCTCAGGTGACCTGGGCTCCCACTCCTCTTCAGATCTGCTGTCGCTGATGCTCCAGTGTCACACATCTCCTGCTTCAGGCTGAATCTCAACGTTTTTTACAAAAAGCTTCCTCTGACGTCGGTTCCAGTTCCCATCTTGCCAGAGCATGGGGTTCGGGCAGCAGCCAAGGGAGCCCAAGATGGAGACCTCGAGGTTCCCAGAGATCCTTGTGCTTTGGAGACTTGGGGATAGGCACTAGGTCAAGGCCCAGGCCCCTACTCTCCCTGCTGCCTGCTTTCCCGCTGCTTCTCTTTGTTTTTATTGTTTTAAATTTGTGATCAAATACACAGGATACCAACCTACCCTTCTAACCAGCTTTAATGGTACGTAGAGTTGGGGGGCTTTAAGGACCTTCACATCCCTGCTGTCCCCAACTAAATCTGCCTATTAAACAACTCTTCACTCCCCTCCTTTCAGACGCAGCCTTCTCCTGTCTGTCCCTGACTCCTAGGTGGCTCCTGTTCTAGTTGCCTCTGTGGCTGGCTGATTCACTTAGCACGATGTGCTCAGCACTCTTCCGCCTTACCATTTTCCTCCCTTGGGTCAGAGTCTCCTTCCTCTTTCAGGCTGGGTACTAGTCTGTGTGCGGCTCTGCTGTTTTGTTGGGTTTATCTACTCGTCCACCCGTGGACACTTGGGTCGCTTCTGCCTCTTGGCTACTGGGAGCAAAGCTGCTCCGAACAGGAGTGGACAAGTATCTGCTCCAGTCCCTTCTTTCTGTTCTTTTGGAGACATGCCCCAGAGAGAAATTGCTGCTCACCCTTTAGCTGTTCACCGGGTTTAAGGTGCGGACAACCTGGAGGAAAGGAAGGGGAGGGTTGGTGTGATGGGCCTGGGGTCTCCCTCCAGCAAGCCTCCACCGCTGGTCAGTCTGTGGCCTCTGTCCTCTGGCCCCTCCTTTCTCCTGGCTCCCCTGAGGGCTTCTCTGTCCCCTCTTCCTTTCCTGCCTCTATGTCCCTCTATGTCCCGGGCTTCTTTTTTCCTCCTCTGTTCTTACTGGGTGACCAGGAAGAACAAAGGGTGACCACGCCGAGTCATGGAATCGTGACTGGTTCAGATGGGTGGGGCCTGGGAGTCCCACCTGACTCTCAAGGTGGGGATGTGCCCAGGGGCCCAGGCTCATCAGCAGCTCGGCTGGAGCTGGAGCTGGAGCTGGCACAAGTCTCCCCAGCTCTCAGCCACACCGGGAACGACTGGCTCACCCTTGCTTTGGGTCCCAGCAGGGACAGTGGCCAGTTTCTTGATCGCCCCTGAGCCCTCTGGGTGGCATCCTCCCCGCACCGCCCCCCCCCCCCAGGGCTGGCTTTCCGCCTCACTCTGCTGGGAGCCAGAACTGGGGAGAGGGGAGCAGCCTCTGCCAAGAGTCAGCCATGAGCCTGTGATAAAGCCTCCTCAGGAAGGATGTGGGGCCGTGGTTTTGATGTCAACCTGTCCAGTCCATGGGCCTCCGTCTTGGCCTGCACCAGATGGTGCCACAGAGGAAGGAACCCAGCTGAAACCCGCACACCCTGCTTGTGCCACATAGACCTCCTGCTGCCTGCGCCATTAGACCTGGATACCCACCCTCCCACCCAGCTCCAGAGAAGGCAGGCACCCGCCAGCTGCCACGTGTCATCTGGGCGGACACACACCCTCCTTCCTCGGACCCCACTCTCCCCTGGGCCTCCCTGGACAGAGCTGACTGTCCCAGGAACAGGGGGCCTTGGGATTCATTCTCTCCATCGGCAGAGGCCCCGGGCCCCATGCAGCTCCAGGGTGGAGCACACCCACTCCCACTGTGGGCACCTAAGAGCAGCTCCGGGGGACCTTCTCAGAGGGGTGTTTCTTTGGGTTAATCAGAAGCTTCTGGACTGAAAAGGTCCCTGGAACCTGTGCCAGAACCTTCCCCAATGCCAGACAGCCTCCATATGGGATGCCCTCCGCCCTCTTTAGTTGTGGTCCAGACCCGAGTTCCAGAGGCCGAGCCAAGGTCCAGGCTTGGCCTCCCTGGGGACTCCTCCTGCCGCCCCTCTGGTCCAGCTCTTGGCTGCCGGGAACTTGTCAGACAAAGAGGCCATCAGTCTCCAGTGGACAGGGTGCCCAGGCAGCCGGCCAGTCTTTCCTGGGGAGGAGGGGTCTCAGGAGGGGACCGTAGGCATGTCAGAGAGTCAGGGTCACAGGGGGGAATTCTGATGAGCCTGAAGAGGCTGGAGTGGCCCCGAGATGGTGACCCCAGGACCTGACGTTTCTCAGCCCCATCCCTTCCCCACAGTGCCAGGCTAGGACTGAGATGGCCCTCTGGGGAGGTGTCTGGAGCAGGTGGCCAGCTGAGTGCGGTCTGCAGAGGTCTCTGTTCCTTTGACTTCTGGGTGGCCCTACCTGAGCCGTGCCCTCTGTCTCCAGGACTGTCCCCAGCTGCTGCGAGTGGACAAGATCCTGGTGCCCGTGGAGGTGATCAAGCCCATCACTCTGAAGGCCAAGAACCTTCCGCAGCCCCAGTCGGGGCAGCGCGGCTACGAGTGCATCCTGAACATCCAGGGCGGCGAGCAGAGGGTGCCTGCCCTGCGCTTCAACAGCTCCAGCGTGCAGTGCCAGAACACCTCCGTGAGTGCTCCCGCCTGGGTTCGGGGCCCCCGTGTCACCCCTCTGGTTGCTACTATAATAACTGTCCTTGGGGGTGTGATCTGGGACCAAAAGAAACCCAAAGGACTTAATAAAACACCCCCCACTTCCAGTGCTCTAGCGGGGAATAGGGTTCAGAAAGGTCAATCTACTTGCCCAAGTTTGTTCAGCATTAGAAGGGCCGAACTGATTTCCCAACCTCCAGAGCCCCAGATGTGTCCCCACTGCTTCTCAGGCGGACCTCCTGCACCTCCTCTGGCAGCCAGGCTATTTTTCAGGCTTGGGCAGCATTCTAGATTAAACCTCCAAGCAAAGGGGAGACTAAACATCTCCTGCTTCCTCATAAATCCTGAGGCTCAGCAGACCAGCCCCAAGGGTTTGGCCAAGTAATCCCCCCCACCCAAACTAGAAGGGCCCAGTGGAGACAGCAAGCCTGGGCCCACGTTCCCTTCAGCAGGTACAGGAGGCGGTTTCTGACTGCGGAGGAAACAGCCTCATTTCCTGGGAGATGCTGCCCCAGGGGTCTGGGAGGTGTCAGGACAAAGGAGAGAGTCTGAGGCCACAGTTCCCAGAGAGACAGGCACAAGTGTCCCCAGATGCCTCATGGGCCCCCTGCTGCGGCTGAGGTGGTTAAATAGATGGAGGAGACCCAGAAAAAGGCGTGAGTGGGTCCTGCACACCATGTGGCCAGGACTCCCTTGGTGCCCTGGAGACTGAGCGTCCAGGAAGCTGGTGGGACCCACTGCGTCCTGTTTCCTGTGGAATTAGAAGGAATTTTGGAATATGCTCAGCATTCCCTGGAAGACAGCTGCCTGACCCAAGGAACCCACAGGGGTCACAGGGGACTCCTAAAATATAGGGGGTGAAACCAGAACCTGCCAAGGACAAGGGCACAATGTGTATCTCCATGTCCCCAGACAGGAGAGCCCCATTTCCTCCTCCCTCGTGGGATCCCATGGGGTTCCTAGTACAGGTGCCCCAGTCAGCACCTGTGGGAACAGGACAGGGATAATTTGGCATCAGGTATTTATAGAATGCATTATATCATCAGGCAGAAATAGACCTGGCAGAGTATCTTTGGATCCTGTTAACAGACAGGACTCTAAAATACAGAGAAGGCAAACGGCCATCCCCAGATCACACAGCAATTAAAGTGCAAATTCAGAATTTGAACCCGGTTTTCTAAGATACCTCCTCATCAAAGCTTGGGAAAAAATACAAACAACCACCGTGCAGAACGTCATCCCCAGCTTTGGTGTTAACCTGGGCGATCTCTAATCAGCCCAAGGGAGGATTGTATAGAACAGATTTTCTCCTGTTTTAAATCCATGAGCAATCCGGAGCGGCTGTGTGATTGGGGGATGGGGTGGAGAGACATCCTGGGCTTTATGATGGCATTAGGAGGTTGGTGACAGAGGTCTCAGAGCATAGCAAAGGAAGACCGGTACAATGCCATGTGAAATTGTGGGCATCGCGCTGGGCAGCCTGGCTTCCAGCCCCGCTATTTAGGGACCGGCCCTGGGCCAATGGCTGCAGGCCCTGGGGGCAGGGGAGGAGAAGTGGGTGGGCCTTAGCATCCCAGCTGCAGGAGGGAGCCACTGCTGCGGGTGTGCCTGGCCTACTTTAGACCCAGACTCCTGGAAAAGGTCAAGTGCTGCTAATAATAGAGCCTGCAGCCTCCTCTAAGGCCTGGCGAGCACAATTGAGGGGCTGTAAAGGGCATCTGGCAGGCTGGAGTGCCGGTCAGCAGGCCTGGTGCTCCGGGCCGGGCCCAGCTTCCACCTGGCGAGGGCCTCACATTGTCCAGGCACGTGAATTGACCGTGAGAGGTGGGGAAGGGAGCTTGTCCCCTTCCTGCTTTCTGGGACCTCCACCGAGACCCGCCGAGCCCTGGGGAGTCTGAGAGAGGGACTGGCATCTTATATGCCGTGATGTGGTTGGGTCTTGTTCATTCCAATGGCAGAACTTTCCAGCAAGGTATCTCTGAGCTCAGGACAAAGGAATGCTCAGAAGCAAGAATGTCTCAATTATGGAGAGTTCTCCTCTGTCTTAGACGGGAGAGAAGCTGCGGGTCCCACTTTCCTGAGGTAATGGGTAGAGTCATCCATTAGCCTGGCCGTGGTGGACCAGACCGTGATTGAGACACTTACCTCCTGGCCTCCGGGAGCCCGTGACCTGTCCTGCCCCGCGCAGTGCTGGGCTTTGTGCAGATTAACTGTCTGCTGATTACAGAGAGCTATATAAATGCTAAGTGGAGTGGAGGGGAGTGAGTCTGGGGGATGGGAGGCAGGGCTCCAAGCTCTCCACCCGCCAGCTCCCACAGGGTTGCAGGTCATGCTGGGAGAGAGGGCCTCCAGAATGACAGTGACTTCCCCAGAGACCCAGGAGGCGGTGGCGAGCACCTGGGGTTAATGACTTCTACCATATTTCATAGTTGTGATCCCAGAAATGGGGGAGAGAAAGAGAAAGCCAGGCCCAACATGTTGGATCCTTTAAGTCCCTGTGATTTTCAATTTTCTTTGAAAGGAAAATGCATCCACATGTGCGCACACACGCACGTACACCAAGAGCACACGAGCATCCTCACACGCACGCAGCCCCAGATGTACCAAGTGTCTGGCACACGGCCACCCGATGAATAGGTGCTGTTTTATTCACAGAAACATAAACACAGGCAGCAGAGACACCATTGTACATGGCATCCCCAGGTGTGTACACACACACACGTTAAAATACACAATGATATTTGGGAGCCCAGACTATGTGACAGGCCAATCCTCACGGTAATTCTTGGAGGTGCGTCCTGTTTCTTAATTCTCACTGTGCAAATGGAGAACCTGAAACTTGGATGATTTGCTCACATTCACGCAGCCAGTTACAGCCAGATCTGCTTTGTGGCTATGTGTGTGTGTGTGTGTGTGTGTATGTGTGTGTGTGTGTGAGAGAGAGAGAATGAGAGAGAGAGAGAGAGAGAGAGAGAGAGAGAGAAATGGGGTGGGGGGGAGTACGCATTTATGGCCATACAGATAACAGCCATATGCACTGAGCCTTTCCCAGATCAGCATGGTGTGCCCAGATCTTGGGACGCATGCGCATTCATTTTTTTTTCCTTCCTTCAGGGATTTTGTCCTTCCTGAGAGGGGTCTGAGGGTCTGACTTGTCCCCAGTCATCCCATGCTGCTTCTAGTTTGGGTCCCAGTCAGACCAGGTCTGAGAGGCAGAGGCGGGCTCCAGTCCTGACCTAGCTACTAGCAGCAGCCCTCCAGGGGCCAGAGCCCTACTGTTTCTCCTCCTGGGACCCTGAGGCCAGGACCCCCTCTCCCACTGGGGCCTTCCTGGGGGGAGATGCGAAGGTGGGAGGAGGTGAGAACCTGGCTGGAGGAGGAAGGAGGCCTGCAGTGCTCTGGCTCTTTCTCCAACATAAGGGAGGGCTCCTTCTCCCATACACCTCCCCTCCGTCCGCTGGGCCAATCTCCTGCCTCCCTGCCATTTGCAGATGGGATTCTCAAACTGTAGTCAGCACCAGAACCACAGAGGTACTCTCTCAGGTTTGCTTGGGGTTTTGTTTGTTTGTTTGTTTGTTTGTTTTTACACTGTTTAAGTCTCTATAACAGCTTGTCTCGTGGAGGAAAGAACACAGGAATATGTTAGAATCTCGTGCTATAGCAAGCCCAAATTGTGTCAGACAGTTTTGATCGTCTGCCACAGAGTGTTGCTTGCAATAGGTGCTTTTCTGAAACGTTCTCCGTCTCCGGAGAGTCGAGTTTAGCAGATCTACAGTAGAACCTTGGGATCTGCATCTTGGAGTCATTAGTCTACTCTGTGTGGTCAGAAGTTTATGAGAAAACGGAGGACGACTTGGGATGGCCCAGCTTGGCCCAGATGTGGAGCGTTAACCTCTGGAGAGTTGATTACAGCAGTTCCCCCCCTCCACACACACACCGTATACATAGTTGCTCTTTCCATGGTACCTGTCTAAAATATTATATGGAAAATTTCAAAACTAAATGATTTATAAGTTTTAGATCATATGCCTTTCTGAATAGCATAATCAAATCTCAGGTCTTCCCTCTCCAGCTCACCTGGGATGTAAACCATCCCTTTGACTTGTGTATCTATGCAGTAAATGCTACCTGCCTGGTAATCACTTAGTATCCCTGTTGGTTATCAGCTCGACTGACAGATGAGTTCTCAGTTGCATTATTGAGGGAGCGAGAGAGATCACATTAATATACTTTTTATTATAATACATTGTTTTATGTTCTATTTTATTAGTTAATATTGTTAATTTATTGCTGGGCCTCATTTATAAATTAAACTTTATTAGAGGTATGTATCCAGAGGGGAAAAAAATATATATAAATCAGGTTTGGTGCGATTTGAGGTTTCAGACATCCCCTGGGGCTCTTGCAAAGTATCCCCTGTGATAAGGTGGACTGGACTGAGTTACGTAATGATCAAAGTCCCTGCTGTAACTTCTGCAGGATGGAGGGGGGAGGCGGGGGGGGGCTTGCTTTATTCTATGGGCCCAGGTGGCCTCAGTCACAAGAGGGGTTTTGCGGCAGTGTGGATGGTACACTGCAGACCACCTCCGTTGTGGGAAAAACTGTGAAGGTGGCTCCTGGTCTGGGGTTATGTTAGCAGGGCATTTTGTGTACAAGAGTAGAGCCTGAGGAAACCTAGACACACATCTGACTTATGTTGTTTAGGAGAATGTCACAGCATATTCACATTGTGGAACATTTTGTAACTCGGGGACTCAGAAATTTCTACCATCTCGGGGAGATTATACCATCTCCTTAGACGCTTTTTCAAATAGGCTGTAGACTTATTCTTGGCCAGAGGTGGAGGCATTGACTCAGGCCCCTGAGAGTCTCCCCAGGCTGAGTTCCCAGTGCCTGTGGCTGTCACCTCCTCCTCCTCAGAGAAGGTCTGCAGCCAGCTCGGAGGAGGGAGAGTATCAGTTACCTCCCATGGTGTCCCCCAGCACCCTCCGAAGCCCAGACCCTCCAAACCCTAAGTATTGAGTTGAATAAGTCCGTTGGCTTTGCAAACACCAGTTCAGAATAAGTCCCCTGGCTGAACCCCTTTCAACAGATTGCCAGCCCTCAGCCCCTCTTGTAGAGAAAATCTGTCTCAGTTCCTTTCCTTCATCCCACCGCCTGTGGCGAGCAAAGTCTGGAGGAATAATGAGAAAATCACCAGGTAGGGACTGGAAATGCTGCCCCCAGCCGGCTTTGCTCCCCTTTGCTCACCTTCTTTCTTTGGGCCCTCAGCAATGCGTGGTATCCGAGGGCAGAGCAGGGACTGGCCTGCCTGGGGCTACCCCTGTGACTTCACCCTGAGCCAGGCCCACCCTACCTCACTCTCTTAGCCATCACCCAGCCAGGGGGGCTTCAGGTCCTGAGGAGAGCCAGGCAGGGGACAGGATGAGCAGCCCCTTGCAGGCCCAGGAAGCTGGGCCATGCCTGGCTTTAGAGTGTCGCCCACATTCCGAGGCTGGGGTCCCTGAAGGATTTTCCACCCCTCCACTCTCTGGTGCTCCCATCTGGTCCTCTTGTGTCATGTTCTCAGACTCTGGTCCCCTTAAGAGTACGACCCCCTCATTCCTGCTCTCTGCAGCCACCCCCCTTCCTGGTTAGACTCTGGGGAAAGCCCAGGTGGGTAGGACCCATGGGGGTAGGAAAGGGCTCCATCCAGCCTTCTCCTGGAGCCAGCCGCACAGGTCAGCTGTGGAGGCCTGGCCGGCTCCCTGCTCTGTCTTCCACACCCTCTGCTTGCCCACACTGCCCATTCACACCCGCACATGGGAGTTACACACATACACGTGTGTATGCAAACAAGGTCCTGGCCAGTTCCTGGCCCTGGGGACCCCTGAGGGCCTGAGGATGAGTCTTCAGGCCTCCCTAGAGATGTCTCTTTTCTTCCTGGCCTGGCTGCAGTATTCCTATGAAGGGATGGAGATCAACAACCTGCCCGTGGAGTTGACGGTCGTGTGGAATGGGCACTTCAACATTGACAACCCAGCTCAGAATAAAGGTGTGTGGGGGGGCAGGGACCTGGGGGGGTGGAAGCCAGGGTGGGGGCAGAGCAGAGGACTCTTGGGCAGGTTTCATTATGCCCCCTGCTCCTCGCCGCTGTCTGTCTCCCTGGGGCTCTGAGCCCCTCCTTTGCCGCCTTGCCACCACCCACACTTCCCTGTTCCTTCTTGGGCACTGGCTGGTGGCTTCAGGGCAGGAGTGGAGTGAGTGAACTTGCTGAGCAGAGCTGCCGAGTGAATGGAGACCCTGCAGCCCCCTGTTGACTCCTCTGTGCAGGCCTAGGCTGCCTGGTTTGTCTTCTCTGTGTGGCTAAGGGAACGAAGCTGCCCTTGGGTCCCCTCACTCCGTCCCAGGCTGGGACTGACCTGCTCCCTGGCTGCCCCCTTCCCTCCTCCCATCTGAAGCCTCTTGCCCTTGCCCTCCGCAGTCTACCTCTACAAGTGCGGGGCCATGCGGGAGAGCTGCGGGCTGTGCCTCAAGGCCGACCCAGACTTCGAGTGTGGCTGGTGCCAGAGTCCAGGCCAGTGCACCCTGCGCCAGCACTGCCCTGCCCACGAGAGTCGCTGGCTGGAGCTCTCAGGCGCCAACAGCAAGTGCACGAACCCCCGCATCACAGAGGTGAGCCTGAGTGGGCATGCGCCAGGTCGCCAAGCCGCACCCTGGAGGGGGAGCTGGGGGGCCCTGATGACCCCACCTGGACATGGTGCCAGTCACCACCAGGTGGACACGGATGCTCTGGCTGGCTGGGTGCATCCTCAGTTTCCTTCACAGCTTCCCCAGAACCTTGTTCAAAGCCCCTTCCCTTTCCAAGGGAGTCGAGGGGCCTCATTGTCCTGCTGGAGACTCCACATGAAATGTGTTGGAAAGGACTCAGTCCTTGTCACCCCCTCCCTGAGTCTCTGTGAGTCTCTGGCAAGGCTGGGAAGCTTCTAAATTGCAGCCAATGAGCACAGGCTGCACAGGATTCCAGGAGGCAGAGCCCAGCCCTGGGTGGGGGGGACAGGTGGCCTTGGAGAAGACTCAGGACTCACCCAAAGCAAGATATGAACTATAGGAGCAAAACCAGATTGGGGCACAGTTCAGGAGGGCCTAGGGGTGCAGGCCTTAGAGCCAAGACCCAAGGAAGGAGGACAGGGCAAGGCTAGATGTGAGGCTATGGATCTGGGCTGCCAGGTGATTGCTAGGTGCCTTGGGGCTATGCATCAGCCCCTCCATGCCTCTCCTTCCTCTCCTGTGTCGCCACAGGACAGTTACCAGGAGTGCTGAGCATACACTGTGCATGTAGAGTGCTCCCCAGCTCCATGCTGAGCCCTTGGAATCTCTGGCTTCTCCCGCCTCCTTGGTCATCCCCATCATAAGAAAATCACTGCAAGGATGTCTAAGCCCAGGAAATCACTGGCCCCGTGGTTTATGTAGATAGCTATGTCTCCTTACCGCCCCACTCACACTCTTGGCAGAAAGGCAGCCTAAGGTCCCCCTTCCTGCTGAGGCTGGAATTTCTTGTCCCTTAAAAAAAGGAAGACAGGTGCATGTCTCTACTCCTCAAACAATGGGACCAGGTCTCCTAGCCGTGTTCCTAGCACCCAGCCCAGCTCCTTGGCTTGTGGGTGGCTGTCTTCCCCCTATATACCTTATCATCATTCTTCTTCTACTCGTGCCTCTGTCTCTGCGGCCCCTTTTTATGACGATGCCAATCAAATTGGACTGAAGTCCACCCTCATGACCCTCCCCCTTTAAACTAGATAACCTCTGTGAAAACCCTACTAAGGGATTATTAGGATTATTCCACATATGTATTTGTGGGGGAGGTGGGGACACAAATAAATGCTCCAGACTTGCCAAGGCCCGGGTTGTTATCACCCTTTCCCAGACAAAGGGACCCACCCAGTGCTCAGAGGTGCATATTTGCTCTGACCACAATGTAAAGAAAATGTCCCTGCTCCCAGGTCTCTGGAGCGCTGGGTTACCATCCTCCAGTGCACCCACTCACAAACCACGCATGCCAGGCACGTGTCAGAGCACCAAGGGTCTCGGCTTTTGTGAATGAACAGCCTCACCCAGCAAAGTGGCTTCCCAACATGCCCCTTACTCTCCACCTTCCTGGTCTGCACACTGGGATTTGCTCTCAGCTCTGCTTCCGTTTCCTGAGTGGGGAAGAATCTAAACAATGCCACCAGGAGGGGGATGAGAATATCGGCACCTTGAACCTGCAGACCTGGAGCAGGAGGGCAGGTGGACACCCCTCTATGGCTGCCCCTGGCCCCATACCCAGGCCATGCTGTCTGCTCTCCTCCGCAGCCCACCCCACCCTGCACCTCCTCCGAGGAGCTGCCGCTCCCATTCCCTTAATGAGAAGCCCTCCCTGGGGCTGTGGTGCGTGGCCACTCATGGTGTGGTGGGCCCAATTGGTGTGACTAGCTTTCTTCTTGGCCTGGGTCCAAGAAAATCACAGGGAAGAGACAGCAAATTAAACAGATCTCCTGCGAGGGAGGCTGTTGCTTCTCCCATCCTGGCATACACCCTCCAGGGAACCTGGACTGGGCAGAGATAAACCTCCTTATACGGGATGACAGGTCAGCGTGGCGTGTCTGTGGACAAAGCTGCCAGGCCCCAGGGGTGTACTAGGGACCCACCATCTGGGCAGGCACCGGGGAAAAACCTAGATGCCCCCCACAGCCTTCCCCATGTCTACCACCTTCCTCACCCAGAAATGGGCCCGTTATGTGAACCATCACACCCGTGTGCAAGCTCGCTCACAGACACGCGTGCTTGCGTGGGGGAGGCACAAGCTGCTGTCCTGTCAAAGCTGCCACTCAGGGACAGCCCAGCCTAGGGTCTTCTGCTTCCCCAACTTCACTCCCGCCCCACGAGGGAACATCAGTTGAGATCCTTGCTTGGTGGGAACAGGAGAATGTGCTGGAAAGCGCTAGAGGGTCCCACTGTTCTGCTGGGCCATGACCCATACAGGATTCAGAGGCCCCAGAGTGGGAAGGAGTCTGTTCTGGAATATGAAATACGGGAGGTCACAGTGGCCCTTGTTAACTGAACTTCAGCCCCTGCCTCAATGCAGGCCGTTGGTGGTTGAATCCTAACCTTCCATCGTGGGTTTTAACACCAACGGTGACGTCATTGGGAAAGCCAGCTGTTTTGCCCAGTGTTCCAGGATGATGTCTAAATTAAACCCATCTCCAAGAGAAACCAAGCCAAACCATGAGGGCAAGCAGCGACAAATGCTCCGATGATTCCAGAAAGAAGCTGAACTTGGTGTGGTTTTCAACACAGCTGTAATCCACAATATGGTGCTGCCAGTAACAAGGCCACCGAACAGTGAGGGTTGGTCCCTGCTCCCAGAGACACAGGGTCTGAAAGGAGGCGCAGGGCATCTAAAGGATGAGAAACCAGACACAAGTAATCCTTGTCATGAAATAGCAAAAGGAGCCTTGGAATTTTAGGGGGGAGTGAGGGGGGACATCTGGATATGGGAAGGTGGCATTTGAGAAGAACCTGCAAAGGTGGGTGAGATGATCCTAGATGGGATGGCTGATAGGAGGATTTTATTTTCCTTGAGAGTGGAACCAATATCAGAAAATTCTAGAAGGCTTCAGTGCTGATTTTCTGTGAATTACCCAGTGACAGTGCCGTCACTTTCCATCCCCTCCTCCCTTCTGTGGGATGGGAAGATGTACCAGGGACTTTGAACCCAGCTCCTAAGACCATGCACAAACCCTGACTGCTGTGTCCAGGGCCTTGGCCCATTGGTAGCCCCAGATCTCGGGTGCCCCTGTAGATTGGACCCATCAAGGAATCAGGCACCGCTGAGAAAAGAGCTGGTCACACCCCCCCCCCCCCCCCCCCCCCCCCCCCCCCCCCCCCCCCCGTCCCCCCCCCCCCCCCCCCCAGTCCCACAAGCAAGAGAGTGGCAGTGCTCTTAGGGCCTTACAATCATTCCTCTTCTTCCCTGCAGATAATTCCAGTGACAGGCCCCCGGGAAGGGGGCACCAAGGTCACCATCCGAGGGGAGAACCTGGGCCTGGAATTCCGAGACATTGCCTCCCATGTCAAAGTGGCCGGGGTGGAGTGCAGCCCCTTAGTGGACGGCTACATCCCTGCAGAACAGTGAGTGAAAGCCACCTGAGGTGTGGGGACAAGCAGGGGGGGAGGGAGGGGCAGTCGGTGCAGATTGAGCACCCCTTGTCCAAAACGTGTGGAGCCAGAAGTGTTTCAAATTGGGGGTTTTTCGTGTTGTGGAATATTTGCCTGTACATAATGGGATATCCTGGGAATAGGACCCATTTCTAAACAGGAAATTTATTTATGTTTTATATATAGCTTAGACACAGAGGCTGAAGGTTTATGCGATATTTTAAGTAATTTTATGCATGAAACAAATTTCATGGTGTGGAATTTTCTACTTACGGCCTCATCTCAGCAGTCAAAGCTTTTCAGATATTGGAGCATTTCAGAATTTGGATTTTCAGATTAGGGATGCTGCCTTAGGAACAACCTGTTCATCAATGGACGGTCTCAGATTGTGGTGGAAGAAAAGGAAGACAACCCTAACATTCTAGGGTGTGGGGTAGCTCCCCAACTCCCCACCATCTGCAATAGCTAGCTGCCAGAACAGCTCAGCAAACACCACTATGAAGTGTGTACCAGCACAGCGGAATCTGTATGCCACGCCATCTTACTGCCCCTCCTGGAGGGTGACCTTACCGCCCATCAGTTATTGTCTCTTGGCAAGGTCCCCCTTAGGTACATCAGTGCAGTTAGCAAATCTGCAGGCTGGGTCTTGCCTGGATTTAGTGATTCCCAATCACCAGTGCTGCTGTCTTCAATTCCTCCTGATTTCCATCAGGGGCTTCCCAAGGCGTTCAGAGCAGACGTGCTGATTTAACACTCCAGTTCTCACCTCCTGGCCTATCCTTGCTCAGTTACCATATAATCTTTCTATGACTCCTACAACTTTCTGAGACCTTCCTAGAACCAAACTGAAGCAAGTTCCTACCAATATATTGTGATTTGGTAAAGTGTCATCTCCCCTACTTTGGGTCTACATAACATATCAAAAATGTTTTTATAGAGTCACATGATTAAAATACTCTGATAATAGTTAGATCCATGGAATAAGATAAAAGACCCAAGAAAAGAATCCTGATATATACAAATTTAGTATGTGATAAAGGTGACATTTCAAACTGGCAAGATCATTCAATAAATGATGCTGATTAGCACCCTGGAAAAAGTACAATATCAGGTGCTTATTTCACAGTACACACCAAAATAAATTCCAGATGGATTAAAGAGTTAAGCATAAAAATGTAACTGTGAAAGGATTAGAAGAAAATACAGGTGAGAATTTATTTGATTTCAGGAAGGGGAAGATGATCTAAGTATCGCTGCAAAAGAAGACATAGGTTAGGGGATCTGAGTACATAAAACTTTCAAATTGCACATTAAAAATTATTGTAGGCAAAATAAAAATGCAAATGATTAATTAGAAATATGATATAGTATGTCCTTTCATGATTAAGAGAGTTTTCTTAACATATAAAAAAGTGTTATAAATAAAAAGGCAAATATCAGAAAATGAGCAAAGAACATGTATGTACTTTTAAGATGTACAAAGAACCCAAAAGCATATGAAATGCACATTAAAACAATGAAAAACAATTGCAAAAGGTCAATATTCATTGTAGATTCAAGGCATAGGAAGTGACAGGCTCATGTAATCCTAGTAGGAGGGTAAATCGGGACACAATTTCTAAAAGGCATTTGGAAATATGGGTCAAAAGTCTTCAGGTTGGCACCACACTTCTAGAGCTTTCCCTAAGTAACCAGACTGCTCTGAGTGGTGCAATTTGCAGGGAAGGGATTGTGTACATATAACACATGCTTTTATGTACTTTCCATATTTTCTTATACCAAGAAGATATTAATTACGTTATCAGGACAGAAAGTTATGTGGTTTTGCCAGACATTTCTTCAGAAGTTCTTTCTAAGAGAAATATAAAACTTAAAACTTAGAAACTACAAAAAAAAAAAAAAAACAACAACCAATTTCACCAATTTAAACTTTAGTGTGGCCAAAAATATTGGGGAAACAGGTGAAAAATGACCAACAGCAGAAAATAATTGCAATTTTCATAACAGACAAAAGTTAATACTCTTAGTTCAGAAGTTTCTACAAAAGATAACTCAGCTGTAAAGGAGAGAGCTTCAACAGAAAAATCCAAGGGAGGCCATGTAAGATCAAAACCAGACAAAAAAAATGTGCAGCCCAACTAGTAATCAGGGACATCAAAATTAAAATGAGATATTTCTTCCCTAGTAGATTGGAAAATTTTTCAAAGGATTGATAATATCTAGCATTGGCTAAAAGAGGGGACCACCAACAGCAGTGTAAATTGGCACAGCTTTTCTGGAGCATCATTTGACTCTACCATCAATGTTTCTTGCATAAACCATTTAACCCAGCAAGCTCCCTCCCGAGAAGCCTCTTCTAATAAATGTATGACACACACAAATGCGGATATAAGTTCACTCATTTTGCAGCATTCTTTGAAGCAGAAGAAAAAAATCAGGATAATTAAATGTCCATCAATAGGAAGAAGGTTACATAAATGATAGTACATCCATACAAAATACCACAAAGCTGTTAAAAAAATAAAGCATATCTATGCATATAGGGACATGAGGGAGAAAGTCTATACTGTACTGTTGGGTAAAAACAGAGGTATATAGAAGAGTGAGCATACAGTGTTTTGCTTTTATCCTTAAAAGCATGTTTCTATATATTATAATACATATATATGTACATAATTGTATATATGTGCGTATATATATTACTTATGTTTATGTGTGTGCATGCATATAAAACATTTACACACAAAGCATATGTAAATGCACGTTTCTTGGGGTTCATGCCACTTTGGTTCCAATACCCCCTGCAGATACCTGAGTTTGTGGATACTCAACTCCCTTCTGTAAAAAGGCGTGGTCTTTGCAACAGGCATCCTCCTTTTTACCTTAAATCTCTTTTAGATTACTTATAGTACCTAAAACAATGGAAATACTATGTAAATAATTGTTCTACTGTATTGTTTAAGGGAAAAGACAAGAAAAAAGTCTGCACATGTTCCATTCAGATGCAATTTTGGGGGGAATATTTTTGATCCACAGTTGGTTGAATCCATAGATGTGGTCCATGGATACGGAGGGCTAACTCTACATATTTGGGCAAGCAACATAGCTTTTCTTCTTTTTTTGGCGGCGGGTGGGGTGGGCGGGGAGTACTAAGGATTGAACTCAGGTTCTTAACACTGAACCACATCCCCAGCCCTATTTTGTGTTCTATATATTTAGAGACAGGGTCTCACTGAGTTGCTTAGCACCTCGCTTTGGCTGAGGCTGGCTTTGAACTCACGATTCTCGTACTGCAGTCTCCTGAGCCACTGGGATTACAGGTGTGTGCCACTATGCCTGGCCACGACCTAGTGTTTTCTGGGCCTCAGTTTATTCACTTATAAAATGGGGAATATGTGTGTGTGTGTGTGTGTGTGTGTGTGTGTGTGTGTGTATATATATATAAAAGATATAAGTATAAATATGCATGTCTCACACACACACACATTATATATACATATACACATACACCCATATATACACACAGACATATATATATATATATGTATATATACTCCCCAACATACACACACATACATCTCTCTGTCCATCCTGGAAGTTGGGTTGACTGGGAGCAGAAAGTACATCACTGAGGCAGCCCAAGCACTGGGCCTAGGGAGCTCCCAGATGAGGGCCTGAGAACCTTAGGTCAGCACCAAGGTCTGTGTCTGATTGCTAGGGGTCCGTGGGTAGGTCATTGCACCTCTCTGGGCTCTGCCAGCTGTTTCCTAAACTGTTTAGCTAAAACTTTGCCACCACTCTCCAAACCATCGAGTGACCAGTCATGACTTAAGGGCAAGTGTCTGGGGTCAGAGTTACTCAGAGCCTCTGCAGGATCCTTCAAAAGGTTTCCCGGTTCCTGAGAGTCAGGAGGAGCCCCTGAAGGGGGCAGCCAGACGTCTCCCACCCCCTCCCTGCTGGTCCCTGGGATCCTACTCAAAGTGGGTAGCTCTGCAGGGGCTGCAGTGTCCAGGGTCAGGGCCGGGGGCCTCTCGGCTCATGGGGTCTCTCCTGTCCTCTGCAGGATCGTGTGTGAGATGGGAGAGGCCAAGCCCAGCCAGCACGCGGGCTTCGTGGAGATCTGTGTGGCTGTGTGCCGGCCCGAGTTCATGGCCCGCTCCTCGCAGCTCTACTACTTCATGGTGAGTGCTGCTGGCCGCACACGTTTCACAACCCTCGTGGCTGGGCCCCCTAAAACTCTCTAGAGCTCTGGGCAGATGTGGGACAAGGCCCCCCCTGCAAGCCCCCCAGCATTCCTGTAGCCATGGAAGCACAGACTTTGATGTCCACAAGACCCAGTCTGAAGTCCAGCTGAGCCTGGTGCCTGGCTCCTGGCGCCAGGTCAGCTGCTGGAGCCCTGGGGGTCCCCGGGTTCCTTTGTGGCTGAATGGCTGGGTCACACTGCAGGTGGTACTGTCGGCACATGGCCACTCGGTCTCTTCAGTTATAAAATGGGGACAGTGATAGCATCTGTGAAGATTGCATCCAATCTTCCTATTCCTTCTAGTATCATTTCCTTGATGATTATCCTCCATGATTGCCACCATTACTGCTGTGCCCTGGCCTCCCCCTGTCCACCCCGGCCCCATTATGCCCAGCCCTCCACCCTCCCTCACTGTCACCCTGCCTTCCCTCCTCCAGGTCCTTCCCTAGCCCTGCAGCTCCTCTCCCCACTCCCACCTGCACACCCACGCCATTTCCTTCCCCACACCCCACCCACCCACCCCTGTCCCTCCCGTGGCCTCTCTGCAGGTCTCAGCTCAGGCCACTGTCCTGGAATCCCCTGCAGCCTGAACCCTCCTGTCCGGGCAAGGGCTGCCTGGCCAGTGGTTTGGGGGGATGCAGGGACCTTTGCAGATCTCTTGGCTTTGTCATTAAGGGGACGGTGGAGACAGGAGCCCATCATTTCCCAATCCAAGCTTCTCAGGTTAAGGACGGTGGTGAGGTTGGGATTTCCTCGGGATTCGGAGCTGCTCTGGGCAACTGGAAACCTGGGTGATGGGTTTAATGTCTGCGCACCGCATACTCTGAAGTGCTATGGGGATTCTGCGTTCCCTCCCTCCTCCTGCCTTCCCTCCCCCCTCCTTCCCAGCCTGTCTTCCTTCTCCCCCTCCCTCCTTCTTCCTGGTCCTTCTTCCTTCTCCCTTCACCTGGCAGCCATTTATGGCCCTGCACAGTGCCTCTTGCTAGATTTTCTGACTGATACTTGTTTGATCAAGTTCACATTCTGATAATTGGATGGTCCTGGCTACGGGGGCTTCAGAGACGCTTGATCCTGGCACAGCCCATCCCCCAGATGTCCCAGTCTAGATGCGGGGTGCAGGACTCTTCATGCACAAGGACTTGAGGACAGACTCCGATTTGACAGGGCAGGACCTCAGATAAAGGCGGCCCAGACGCCCTCCCCGCCTGGCCTGCCGCAGCTCCTCCCCAGCCCCTGCTCTGGGAAGCCCACCTCCCTCCTGGACACCAGTGGCTGTCACTCAATACACACAAGTGACACTTGCCAGGTATTGGGCATGAAATGTGGCTCTGACTGCCACCTGGCAGCCAGGAGAGGAGGGAGCCCGAGCTTCCCCTGCCAGTCAGCTAGCCAGATCCTCCTTACCCTGTGCCCCGTGTCAATGGCCGACAGGACTAGAGCAGCCTCCACCTGTCTAGACCCCTGTGGGCTTTGGACTTCTGCTGCCCATGCCGTGTGCCTCCTGGGATCTCTCACCTCAGTGACCTGCTCAGAGGACACGGCAGCTATCATGTCCCTGTAGCCCAGACAGGCTGTCATTCCCCATGGACCCGTGTCCTCTGCTCTTGCCTGTTTCTGCTGGTGGCCTGCCCCTGGCAGCCCACACTCTGGGCTGGTCATCTGGTCCAGCTTCTTTCCTGACATGATCCTCACCAGGTCCTGGAGTCTTCCTCTTCCTGTTCTCTTTGTCCCCATGGGACCTCCTTAAATCTTTCCTCTGCCCTTGGTCTGAGCCCATCTTCCCCCATGAAAGAGCCTCTTATCCGGGGAGCCGCACCTGGAGGTTCCTGCTGCCTGTCAGGTGCCGTCCTGGTTCCTAGATGGATTTCTCTGCCTCAGCGCTGCCTGAGCCTCTTCCCTTCCCATCTCCTTTCCTGGTGGCACCAAGCCACCTCGTCCCCCTTTTTCAGAGCCTGCCTGTGTCCCACTCCTTGGCCTCTGAATCTGTAGGCCTGTGCTGGGGAGGCCACAGCCCCTGCGCTCCCCACCCTCACAGGGTCCTGGGCATCTCCGGCACAGCCCTCCGGTGGTTCCGCTTTGGCCAGTGAGCCTGTGCAGGTGAGGCTGGGGCCTTTATTTCTTTGCTAACACCTGGAGTGCGTGGACACTTCTTTTTTCCTTTTTTTTTTTTTTTTTTTTTATACCAGGGATTGAACCCAAGGTGAGCCACTGAGCCACATCCCAAGCCTTTTTTGTATTTAATTTAGAGTCAGGGTCTCATGCAGTTGCTCAGGGCCTCGCTAAGTTGCTGAGGCTGGCTTTGAACTCAAGATCCTCCTGCCTCAGCCTCCCAAGCTTCTAGGATTACAGGCACGTGCCTGGCAGTATGTGGGCACTCCTGACTTGACCATGCTCACTACCCTCCAGACCCTAACCCAGATGCCCTCGCCCCTCCTAATTAAGCCAGACTGCAAGCAGGACACAAGTGTTCCTGGGTCAGAAAGCTCCCCAGTGGCTCTAACCTGCAGCCCAGGCTGAGGATCTGACCAGGAGGGACATGCTCATTGAGTGGCCACCACATTTCCGTTTTGCTCTCCTCTCTGTCCTAACTCTTATAAAGAGCAGGCAGGCGAGGTAGACTTGGCCCCTCAAGCCCAGCCCTGCCTGCAGATCTGTCTGACCTGGAGCAGGGTGTGGTGGAATTAGGGCATGAGAGGAAGCCTCCAGCAGGAAGCTGTGGAGAGGCAGGGCTGGTCCCGGGCGGCTCCCTGTGCATCTTGGGCAGGGGGCTTTCCCAGCACAAGGCTGACATCATGACCAGAAGATGGGACTTGAGGGAGGAAAGAGAAGGGGCTGAGGAGGAGGAGAGAGGGAGCAGGGAGCCACCAGGAAAGCCAAGAGCAACTCCCACAGGACAAATAGAACTAGGCTGGGTCCACTGGATCCTGGGCGCAGAGACGCTGCCACCTTCTATGGGGGGACTCCTCTGAGGACCTGTCCCGGTGCCACTCGTTCCCTCAGGAAGACTTCCAGGGAGGGGGACGGTGCTAGAGGACCCAGCCTCCTGGAGCTGAGTCACGGAGCCCCCTGTGCAAGCTCCGAGGGTTCCGGGGGGACGAGGTGCCCGGGTCTCCTCACACCCATGAGAAGGGACACAGTCTTTCTTGGTCGTGCTTCCAGACACCCCGGGGCTCTCCTCGCCTTCTGCTCAGCCAAGTGGCTTGTCGGGAACTCTCGGTGGACCCCCACAGAGGGCCTCTCCTCTGGAGGCCTGGGGCAGCCAGCCGGAGAGCCCCTCCCCAGGGGACCTGGTCTGTCGGGGCAGGTGAGGGCCACCCCTCTCAGTGCTCTTCCTCAGTTTCCCTGCACAATCCGGGCCAGGCTTTGATGGGTCATTCATTCACTCAAAATGCATAAAGGCCCCGGGCCCCTGTCACCAGCCCTGTCCCCAGATCTCCAGACAGGGCGTGATCTTCCCTTTTCCCTCTGCCTCCATTCAGGGATCTCAGGGAGGAGGTGGCACAGGATGCCGAATTTGATTTCCCGTGCAAACCCACCGTGAAATATTTATGAAGCACGACCTGAATAATTAATAGTTTCTCACAACCCTAAACGCGGCTCCATAGCAGCCCCTCCCCAGCCCTGAGTAACTCCCCCTCCAGACAGCCCCCAGCAGCTCCACGGCCAGGCGGTGGGGGGGACTCGCTCTGCCCCCTGGGGGGTGCCAACCCCTGGCAGCCAGGGAGGATGCATCCCAGCCCAGCTGAACTTCCCTGGGGGGTCCTACAGGCCTAGGACCCCCCCTACCTGGAAGCCAAGAGCGCAGACAACCAGAGGTGTCTGCCTCCCTCCTTTCCCTCCCTCTCTGGGGAGGCCAGCAGCCACCTCCCCCCCTTACAGAGAGACAAAGGCTCCACTTGGAAAGGTGGAAGCTGCTGCCAGTTACCCAGCAAGAAAGCCTTCAGGGGCCTCTTTGTGGCCCAGCCCCCTGATTTTATGATCAGAGAGGTTAAATAGCTCATCTCAACTCACACAGCAGGATCCAGACAGAGCTGAGCAGGAGCTCTCTTTCCACAGCCTCCATCTTGGTCCTTGCAAACCAAGCCCAGGAAGACCTAGGTCAGAAAGGGCCCGGGAGGACCTGGCCGAGGTCAGTGGGTGACCCCAGCCCTGGGACAGGGTGCAGGCCAGAGGGGGCATGCTTCCCCAGGGCTCCCCCAGGGTGTCACCAGTGGGAGGCCCCCCTAGGAGAGGCTGCCTGGGCTGGAGGGGCCCAGTGGGTTCCACTTTGGTGTGGAATTCTTGAAGAGGGAGGTGCTTGGGGAAGGGAGAGAGAGAGATCTTCATTTAAATGCAGATACAGGCCTCTCACCTGGGACTGGGAAAAGTTTTTCCATTAAAATGCTAATGAAAGAACAAACTGCAACTCCAAATCCCCAGCTGTCACAGGGCTCCCTTCCCAGCCCCCCTTCCCAGCCGGGCTCCCCAGTCCCTCCAGCAGGGGGCTGTGGGCAGGCCTTAGACACTGCTGACCCTTCGCCGTGTCTTTCTCTCATGTCCCACTTCTCTGGCCACTGAATGCCTGGCAGCTCTCTGGGGATGCCAGTGGAAGGGACAAGTCACCTTCCCCAAAGCAACAGTGGCTGCCGTTTGGAGAAGTGGTTGGGAACTAGAGCTCTGGAGTTACCTATCAATGATGCTGCTCCTTAGCTGTGTGACCTTGGAAAAATTACTTAACCTCTCTGAATATAAAGGTAAAAACATAAAGAAGCCTGGCACACCACACGGCAGCTGTTATTAACACAGAGATGCAAATTCAGGGTCCCGAACAGTGCCTATTTGTACAAGGATAAGAAGATCAGCTCTCTTAGAGGCCACCTTCACCAAAGACTCCCTAAGGCAGCACTGGCAGGCATGGGGCCTTGGGAGGGTCCAGAGCCACCTCCACCACCAGCTGTGCCTGAGGCCGCATCCTTTCCTACGCAGACGCTGACTCTCTCCGACCTTAAGCCCAGCCGGGGGCCCATGTCTGGGGGCACCCAGGTGACCATCACGGGCACCAACCTGAACGCGGGCAGCGATGTGGTGGTGATGTTTGGAAGGCAGCCCTGCCTCTTCCACAGGTAAGCCCCGGGGCCCCGGGGGTGCGGTCAGACAGGTAACCCACCCCCATATCCAGTCCCAGGGAGACTTGGGGTTTCAGGAGTGGGGAGGGGCTGCCCAAAGCAGGGACTTCAGGACTAACTCTTCCTCCCTCCTAAGAAAGTGGGTGCTGTCTTTGGGAGAGCTGGCTCCGAGTGTCAGGGACCCTTTCCTGGACGGCCATCATGCTGCTGCCCACCACTCAGCCCGTGCCCCGCAGCATCCCCTCTGCAGAGCCCTGGGCTGCCACAGAGCACAGCTGGGAATCCCTCCCAGGTGGCTCCCAAGAGCTGACTGGAGTAGCCTAAGGCTAAGCCTCCAAAAGCAGGTGACTGTCCTTCTTCTGTGTCACACTGGAGCCCAGAAGGGCATGCTCTTGCTGGGTCAGGGGGCAAGGGGCAGGAAGTGCATCTTGGGAAGGACGGTGGAGGTGTTGGTTAGGTAGAGGCAGATGGAGGCAGAGAGGCCAGAGGCCTCCTTTCAGGATGCTGCGGAAGCCCTGGAGCCAGAGCCCAACTCCACACACAGCAGAGATGGCCAGGGATGCACAGCCAAGCAGCAGAACCAGGGAGTCAAGGGTAGAGAAGGGGTAAGGTGACACAGGAGAGTCTCTCGGAACTGGCCTCACAGTGCAAAGGGGACAGGGATTCTCACCAGACCCAAGGGCAAGTCCTACTGAAAAGTGGGCAAAAGCCTGGTCAAGGGGAGGGGGGTCTCTGTCCCTGGTCCCTGAGCTTCACATGGGAGCAGCACTCAGCCCTTGAGGAGCCAGCCATGCGAGCGAGCGAGGCTGGCCCAGGACCACTGTCCCCCTGGACACCCGGGAGCCCAGAGCCCTGCCTCCCCCTCCAGGCGATCCCCGTCCTACATCATCTGCAACACCACGTCCTCGGAGGAGGTTCTGGAGATGGAGGTGACGGTGCAGGTGGACAGGGCCAAGATCCGCCGAGACCTGGTCTTCCAGTACGTGGAGGACCCCACCATCGTGCGCATCGAGCCCGAGTGGAGCATTGTGAGGTAGGCGCTGCCCTGAGCGCCCTTCCTGCCTCTGTGCCTCCGTCTCCCTGGCCCTGGCTCGGGAGCCAAGGAGGGTTCTGGGGGCCCAGTCCTGCTCTGGGGATTGCTGAACAGGGGTCGGCTCCAAGTACCAGCAAACGCGCCCACCCTCCTGCAGGGCTCCCTACACCCTGGGGAGCGACCAGCATTCAGGGCCCACCTCTCCTTCCTTCCACTGCAGACTCCCGGGCAGAGTGTGGCCCTTGCTCTTTCCTAACATCCAACCCTCAGGCACGGGGTGGGTGACCCAGGAAGCAGGATTGATGCTGTCACAGAAAGGCCCAGGGCAGGGGTCGGGCCCTTCAGCCCTTCACCCTGGGCAAGTCGCCCTTCCTGGGTGGGCCTCCACCCCTTGAGGGATGGGCCTGGGGATTTGGAAACTCTGGGTCTCTAGTGTCTTGCGTGGCACATGCCACATCAGAGCAGAGCTGCTTTTCCAGTCCCGGAGGACACAGAGAGGAGCAGCTCTGCAGAGAGAGCCTTTCTGTGGGGCCCACTGAGCTCCTGGGAAAGCCCTGCAGGGGGCGGGGACAGCATTGTGGGGAACAGAACAAGGGCCTGGGGCTCAGGGCCGTGGGCTCAGCCCAGCTCTGCTGCTTAGCAAACAAGTGACCTTAACACTCCTGCCCTCCCTGGGGCGGGCGCCTCTGGCCTCAACTTCCTCCCGAGGCAGCTGGGAGAAGGGAATGAAATGCAGACTCCGTGCGCAGCTTCCTGTCTGGCCCCTGCTCAGTGCGCATCCTTCCCTGCCTGCTCCAGCTTGGAGGGGCTGGGCTGGAGGGAGGAATGGGGACGAAGTGTTCTCCAGGGTTGGGGCAGTGAAGAGCCCCATCCAGGGAGCAGTCTCTAAGCCAGGGACCCCCAGCTCCCTCTGGCTGCCACCAGCTTCTGTGAACACAGTTCTGCTGGACCAGGGCCACTGTGCTGTCTGCAGCAGCTCTCTCACTACAGGGGCCGGGTGGCCTGTGGGTTCTAGAATATTCCAGCTCTTCCAAAAAGAGCTCACCACCCACTGCCTCAGCCCAAAGGAAGGGCAGCTCGGCCACTGAGCTGTGGCCGTCCCCGCAGTCCCTCGGTAAGGCCCACACCCAGATGCCATGGTCTTGGAGCAGGTAAAGGAGACAAGGCTCACAGAGAGGGAGCAGCCTGTGAAGGCCAGCAGGGCCTGACCCGGGGCCTGACCCAGGGCCAGCCAGGCAGGGGGCCGGGCAGGCTTCCTGCTCACAGGAGGATCCCCAGACGGCTCTCATCCAGCTCTTAGAAGTACAAGTGTCCTCCTCCCTGGTGTTCAGCAGCCATCCCCACGTCACACCCCTATCAGGACAGAGGCTGGAGACATGTCCTGGGACTGCCAGCCGCTCCCCTGCGGTGACTCGGGTTAAGAAGTCTGAGGATGGGGTTGGGCTCTGCACTAGGCGTGACTTGACTCTGCGTCCCTCAGGGAAGTGACAGGGACATGTGCAGCTGCTTGTGGAATTGGTGACTGACAAGATGGAGTGTGTGTGTGTGTGTGTGTGTGTGTCTGTCTGTCTGGAAGTTCAGCTGGGCAGATGGATAAATGGGCAGAAATCAATGTGGGGGTGGGAGCTGAGGACCCTGATCCGCTGAGTTCTTGCCTGATTGACTTGGTAAACCCTGCGTTACTCAGATGCTCCCGCCACTGGAAGACAGGCTTCCTTGCTCTCCCCTGGGTGGCCCCCAAGGAGGACAGCCAGCAGAGAGCTGTGCCCACCCCTGCCACTTCTTGGCCTCCTGGAGATAGTGGCATCTTTCAGAAGCTACACCCAGATGAATGGCCTAAGTCTTCCCCATCAGTGAGCCGGTGCCACCCAGGGTGCAAGAGGCTTGTGTCCCAGGTCGTCTCCCGTTTGCATTCCTGGGGGAGGTTTCTGTGCCCTGCCGCTGCCAGTCCCAGACCCCAGCCTCCCTGGAGCCTCTGAGGTGGAAAGCTCTGGTGCAAATGTCCTGGGGTGGGGTGGAGGGGGCTGTGCTCAGACCCTGGCCCCGGGGGAGGGTCTAAAGGAGGCTGCCATTGACCAAGGCCGACACAGGAAGGTCCAGGAGTGGTGAGGCCGGAGGAAGAGGCTCTGGGCTGCAGAGAGCCAGCTGGTCAGTCAGGGTCTTCAGAGACCCCAGGGGCTTTGCTGTCACCTGAGCCTCCACAGGTGTCCCTGTTCCAAATGAGCTTGGGCGAGGACATCCAGGCCATCTGGTCGTGCCTGTCTTCCCCTGGGCTGCTGAGGAATGTCCTTGCTACCATGCAGCTTGTCACCCTCGCCCCCAGGGACACTGTTGTGCTACCTGATTGTCGCTGTTCTTGTTGTCATAGCTCCTCCTCTTCCTCCTCCTCCTCATCATTGTCACTGTCACTGGGTGCCATGGCCTTTCCTATACCGGTGACCCACATGCCCCTTTCTTTCTCCCGGGCAGTGGGAACACACCCATCGCTGTCTGGGGGACTCACCTGGACCTCATACAGAACCCCCAGATCCGTGCCAAGCATGGCGGGAAGGAGCACATCAATGTGAGTCTGGGGCTGGGAGGGGCTGCCCCTGGCACGCGGCCTCCCGGAGGTGGGGGCTTCCTTCCCAAGCACGCATGCAGCCCCTGCCCAAACACAGGCACCTACAGCATCCTCCTGGGGTGGCGGGACACGGGTAGAGGTGAGGGATAAGGCCTGGAGGACCAACCACTCCTAGCAGTTTCAGGGGCTTCCAGCCCTTGCGTCCTCTGAACCCACAGCTGCTTCCTGAAAGTACCTGAGCCGTCGCCGTAGGCGAAGCCAGGACTGGGAGACAGCCACAGAGGGCAGCCCTGGGTGCCCCGGCACGGGGTCCTGGCTGCCTCCTCCCAGTCCCCCTGTGTTAGCCCATGCTGTGTGGACAGCTCCCCAGGAGGCCAGGGCAAGCTTGCCTTGTCTCTGGCTCCTCCCACAGATCTGTGAGGTCCTGAATGCCACCGAGATGACCTGCCAGGCCCCAGCCCTGGCCCTGGGTCCCGACCACCAGTCGGACCTCACCGAGAGGCCTGAGGAATTTGGCTTCATCCTGGACAATGTGCAGTCCCTGCTGATCCTCAACAAGACCAACTTCACCTACTATCCCAACCCTGTGTTCGAAGCCTTCGGTCCGTCAGGAATCCTGGAGCTCAAGCCTGGCACCCCCATCATCCTAAAGGTAGAGCCAGGGCTGGGAGGAAGGAGGCCGTGCAGGGAGGGAGTGGGATGCGGTCACAGGGAATCGCCGGAAGTCACAGGCTCTGGCCAAATATTGTGACTGGGTCCTTTGCAGAGGTGGCTTAAAGTCCGGAACAATCCTTATAGGCTTGATCCATCCAGGGCAGGCAGATCCGCCCAGGTCACTAGATTCAGAGGGTTTTGTCTTCAGAGTCCAGAAACTTGTCAGTCAGGCCCACACTGCATCCTCCTGTGAAGCCCTTGGCTAAACACAGTTGAGTTTCTTTGGAGTATGGATTGTAACTTAATTTTAACTCACATGACAATCTGAATCAATGGGTAGTGATTGACTACAAATCTGTTGAGAAGGATTCTGAGGCTACATTAGGAATCAGCTGAAAAGAATACTTTGATTATTGATTTCTCACTGGGAGGAAGGGAGAATGATAGTGTCCGTGCTGTATTAATCTGTTTTCTGTTACTAACACAAAATACTTGAGGCTGAGTACTTACAAAGAAAAGAAATTCATTTAATTCAAACTTTTAGAGACTGAAAGTCCCAATAGCATAGTACTGGCTCCCATGAGGACATCATGCTGGGAGGATGTGGGAGAAGAAGAGATCATGTGGAGGGAGGGACAGGAAGCCAGAGGTCAGGGAAGTAATGCTCTCCCTCTAGGCCCCACAGCTTAAAGGTCCTACCACCTCTCAACATTGCTGCAACAGGGACCAAGCTTCTGACACATGGACCTGGGGGGGGGGGGTACAAGCCACCTGCAAAGCACAGTAGGTGCTGTAGATAGTTTGGATTTACCACTAAGGGTGGACTCTCCACCCACTCACCACCATGATGGGGTGTCCGGGTGGCCAGTCAGTGTGGTCTTGACCCTGGGGTGGGAACTGGGGCTTCCTGTCTGTGCAGGGCAAGAACCTGATCCCACCAGTGGCTGGGGGCAACGTGAAGCTGAACTACACCGTGCTGGTTGGGGAGAAGCCGTGCACCGTGACCGTGTCAGATGTGCAGCTGCTCTGCGAGTCCCCCAACCTCATTGGGAGGCACAAAGTGATGGTGAGGCTGGTTGGTGGGACCCTTCCCTGAGGGACGCAGAGGACAGCGATCCTGCTACATCCAGCAGAGCCTTTCCAGGGATGGATTCTGGCTCACTGGGAACTTCCCACCCAGTTCCCCATATCCTACTTCCTTCTTCCGTCCCACTTCTCAGCTTCTCCCTTCTGTATGCTCCTTCTTGCCCCATGTGCCCCGCAGGCCCGCGTCGGCGGCATGGAGTACTCCCCGGGGATGGTGTACATTGCCCCCGACAGCCCGCTCAGCCTGCCGGCCATCGTGAGCATCGCGGTGGCTGGAGGGCTCCTCATCATCTTCATCGTGGCTGTGCTCATCGCTTACAAACGCAAGTCCCGCGAGAGCGACCTCACGCTGAAGCGGCTGCAGATGCAGATGGACAACCTGGAGTCCCGCGTGGCTCTGGAGTGCAAGGAAGGTAACTGAGTGACCAGAGGCGGGAGCCCGCGTTGGAGGCTGTGTGTGTGTGTGTGTGTGTGTGTGTGTGTGTGTGTGTGTGTGCACGTGGCTGCACCTGCCACTCATACCCTAAGCCACAGGCTGGGCAGCGGTGGAAGTGCTGGGGCCAGGCCCCTGCTGCAGAGCCCTGTGGCCAGCTCTGAGCGCATGTCCCAGACCACAGCCCTCTCCTGGCAGTCCTGCTCTGGTGGCCCCGGGGGAGGTAAGGCCACCCCCCAGGCTCCGTCCGGGTCTCAGGCTGGGCTCCCTTACACCTCACAAGAGCAGCCTCTAGGGCCAGCATCCTGGCTGAGTGGGTCCCCTCTGTCCCCTAGGGAGACCCGGGGGTGTCTTGACACCACCCATTCAAGCAGTCCTCGCTGTCTTCCACCACAGGAAGGGAAGGCTGCAGGGCTGATCTGCCGTTGGGAAGGGAGAGTGTTTCTCAGCTTGTGTTTATAAAAGTCACAAATACCACTACCAAGTGAGATCAGCCACACGAAACCTCGTCACCCCAGGACGTCTTGCCTGAGTGACCCTGGGAGGACCGATCCCAGCCGGGTCTCTGCCGTCAGTATGCACGGAGTGGACCTGGCCGTGGACCTGGGCTCCCCCAGCACCCACTCCCACCACGGCTGATCTCAATGGGGAACTGGATCCACTCTGTCCCCTCCCTGCGTCCCCCAGCTGTCAACCTGGCATCCGCCTTGTGGGACTGTTAATTACTGCCTTTTATTATATTTACGCTGCTTAATTTTTTTTTCTCCGCAAAGTACTCTTCCCTCTAATTAGGTGTAGTGATTAGAATCTCTTTTATGTGTGGCAGGCACGAGCCTTTGAATGTTGGAGGCGCTGGGTGACTTGAAGGAAAGCTGCAGACCCATCCAAAGCCCAGTCCCTCCTTCTCCTCGGGGCAGCTGAGGGGAGGGTGGAGCCGGGCTCCACCCGGAAGGTCCCTGGGGAGGGAGGCTCAGCAGGCAGAGGCGAATCCAGCCCAAGAGGAGGCTGAGAGGGAGCTGTGGCTTCTGACTTGGGGACAGCTGTGCCACCAGGGTGGCAAGAGGGATTCTCCAGGGTGCTGGGGCTGGTGTCATGGAGACCACACAGTCACCCACACCCAAGCTCAGAAGACGCCCAGCCTGGCCCTGCCTGGGCGTGAGCTTTGGATGTGTCAGCACACGCCCGTGTGCACACACACTCCCACTCCCCACACTCACTGCTCACACTCAGACACTTAGATTCCCACATGTGCACAAATTCCACTCCCTCCTGCAAACATGCAGATGCATGTTCTACCCTCAGGATGGGTGAGTGTTTGCTGGGCTTGTGGTGCCTGTGCAAGCCAGAGACGCCTGCTGATCCCCCTGCACACGTGCGCGCACACACACACGCCTGCACACGCACACTCCCAAAGGAATAAGTTCTGCTTGGCTGCATTAGGGCTTTCTGCCTTCGGGGTCACTACATGACCTGAACAGTGTCTCTGGACAGCAGAGGTGGGAGGTGCAGGAGGAGAGGAGCAATGGAGGGCCATGGGGACATCTCCCCACCTATCCCAGGTCCTTTCTGTCAAGCCTCGGTTCTCTCCTGGTACCAGGACCGGCTGAGAGCTTTGGGCCTGAGATCTGCAGGAGCGGAGCTCCCCCAAAGCAGTAGCAAGGGCAGGACAGGGCCACGCCCACCACTCCCTAGGTGCCTAGTGATGTTCATTATCGCAGCCCATGGGGCACTGGGCTTGCTTTTCAAGGGCCCTAGAGACGTGCTGGGCTGTGAATCCCTTCTGAGCCCACAAAGTATTTTTTTTTCCTGTTCCTTAAATGTACACAAATAGAAATTTTGGTTAGTCAATGTCCCTGGCTGTTCTTCTATGCCAACATGTGTTGCTTCATCCTGGATGTGTGTGTATGTGTGTAAGTGTGTGTGTGTGTGTGTGTGTGTGTGTGTGTGCATGCACCAAAGAGAAAGTTGGCGGAGCGGGAAGCTCCTCTGGTGGCGGAGGGTGACCCAGGAAAAGGATGTAGTGGCAGCTTTGGTGCTGGGTAACAGAGTTTTCTGGGAGTCTGCTGGGGTCTGGCAACTCTGTCCATCTGGAGGCCCCAGCTGCCTCCACAGGCAGCAGGACCCACCCTGAGATCAGAACTCATCCCGGTAGCACACCCTTGAAGCAGGAAGGACAGGGCAAGCCGCTGCGTATCCACAGGGAAGGAGCAGACTAGCACGGCAGTCCCTCCTTGGGAGCCTTGTTTCGAAGTTTGATGATCCCACTGAACTGCCCGGTCCAGAGCTGGGCCCTCAAATGTTTTTCCTTAATCAGAAGAAATTGTTCTTTAATTTCCTGAGGAAGCCCCGTACAACACAGCACAGGAACAGACGGCCATGGTGCCCTCTCCATTCTCTCCTCCCGTCCCTCCTCTACACCTCTCTCCCCTCCCCTCACCCGCCACCCCCAGCCCATTTTGCAAAGCAGAGAGCCCTTCATCTCGGGGTGGGGGGGTGTTCCCTGGGCCCGTCACAGTCTGCAGGCTGCCTTGCCACCCCCTGCCCTTCCTGAGGGACACAGCTCCCTGTGCACATTCTCCCAGTGCACCTCCCCCCATTCTGATGCCACCAATCCCCATCCTGCTCACCCGAGGTCCCTTGCTCCCATCTCCTCGGGGCCTGGGTGAGGCCCTGAGCCATCCCAGCTCAGGTGACTCTCGGCCTCCCCCTCCATGCTCTCGTGGGATTCTCTCCTTGCCAGCTTTTGCCGAGTTGCAGACAGACATCCATGAGTTGACCAGTGACCTGGACGGGGCCGGGATCCCCTTCCTGGACTACAGGACCTACACCATGCGAGTGCTGTTCCCAGGAATTGAAGACCACCCTGTGCTCCGGGACCTCGAGGTACGAGGTGGTGGCCAGTGCTGGTGTGAGAGCAGGACAGCATGTTGGCAGCCTGCGAGTCCAGCCCCCTCGTTTGGAGATGAGAAAGCTGAGATCAGGGAGGGGAGGTACCTTTTCTGGGGTCCTCCAGCTGGTGGGCACCAGCCGGGCCTCTGGAGGAGATGAGGCCAGGCCAAGGGAACCTCAGAGCAGGTGTGAACAGTGCTTAGGGTCCTAGGGAGCCATGAGCCCTTGGGGAATTGAGTGAACATTAAGGACTCTCTCTCCAGAAAAACGGAACCTGTACAGAGAAACAAGAAACATGGCTGATAAGTTGAGGGCGTTCACGAACCCCTGTTTAAGAAACCACAATATAAAGGATTTTTATCACTTAGTGGGTGCTCCATAAATGTATAAGGGATTTCACCACTTGGTGCTAAGTTGGGAAAGATAAATGATGTGTAAAGAAGGGAGGGGAAAGTGAATGATAAAATCCTAGCCATCTTTCCACCAGCGGGGACCTCGTCTTCTGAACACTTTATCCCACTTACTGTCTAGCGTGGAATCTGGCTTATGCATATATTCATATTATGCTTTGTTCCAAAAGGGCTTTGGAATGGCTTATAAAGATAAATACAAGAGAAAACTGAAAAATATAAATGAGGAAACCAGGGCATAATCATAATCCTAAGGAATGATCACTGTGAGTTGGCTGTTAGTAAGTCCGCACACAGCTTCAAGGGCTTTGCATAGATCATTCGTTTAACCACCCAGAAAACCCTCCGAGTGGGTGAGCCCACTTCACAGGTGACAAAACTAAGGGAACAGGGAAAGCCAGTGGTTGTCTGGAGCCACGCAGCTCTTGGGATGGAGGCAGGGGTTGAGTCTAGGCAGTTAGACTCCAGCAGGCTCGTTCCCTGTCCCTAGCCTGGGCACTTGACCTTGAGGGTGCTACCGCAGTCACCTGACCAGGACCTCTGGATACTTAACTAGGATTGAAGGAAAATCTGCAGCCAAAGCCACAGAGTGTCACTTGGGCTCTACCAGGGTGGCGGGCAGTGACTTTGCAGCACAGGCCCTTCCACAGCCATGCTTGTGGCACACACTTTTTCCCATGCTGCTTGTTCAGTGGAGCACGTGTGTGTTTCTACAGTGAGGCTGTGGGTGTTGGTGTCACGGGGGGCTCCCGTTGGCTCCTCACCATGAGGCATGTGTAGAGGCTCTAGGCAGTGGGCGCTCTGTCCTCGCTGGTGATGTACCTCTTCTGTCCACCTATGTTTATGCATGGATTTACACGTGAATCATCTATCACCTAAAAAGGCCAGGTGTCTCAAGACGTCTGTGTCCACGGCAGCCCTGGCCTGGCTCCAGGGCTGGGCTCCTTTCTCTTTCCCTCTCATCTCTCCCTGCCTTTCCCCTTTCCTTCAGCCTCTCCTTTATTTGCATCAAGACACCAGACTTCTTGGGGCACTGAAGTGGATGCACTAGTTAAAGTGGGAAGTGGGAGCAAGGCACAGTGGTAACATGCTTAAAATTCCAGCTACTCTCAAAGCGGAGGCAGGAGGAGTACAAGTTCAAGGTCAACCTGGGCAATTTAGTGAGACACTGTCTCAAAATAAAAAAAATAAAAAGGGTTGTGTGTGGAGCTCAGTGGGAGAGCACTTGCCTGGCATGAGCAAGGCCCTGGGTTCAATCCCGAACACTACAAAAAAAGAAAAAGCCACGGAGCGATGGCTGTGTGTGTGGATGTGTGCAGACTGCGCTCTGCTTTATTAATCTTTGTGATTCCACCTTCCAGCCTAGTAGGGTGCCTGGCAGAGTAGACACGCAGGAAACAGTGAGCTACCACAGAACTGAATGTCTGCCTGTCTGTCTTCAGGAGGGTGGACTCGGCAGCGTGGGAAGGGGATTCTGACCCCCCTGGGTGGGATAGAGAGAAGATTCTAAGAATTCAACTCGGATGAGTATCTGCACTTATTCTCCTTTTTTCACTAGTTCAAAACTCTGAAAGGTCTAAGTAGGCTTTCTTTAGGGTATAACTGCTTAATCGTATTTTCTAAGACTGTGTCAAAGTGTACTTTGGGGCAGGACAGTCACCTCCCACATAAGTTTTCTCTTGGTGGGCACACAGGCACTCCCTGCCACCATCTTGTATCCAGACTGTTGGTATGGCCCACGTTAGCTCTGCTCCTGTTCCTCACTTGGTCCCACCTGTCTTATGGCTTTCCTCCATCTTCTTGCCTCTTTGTAGAGTCTCAGACTCTCAGATCTGGGGCTTGGCACTGGTTTGGCAGATACTCAAGGGACTGTCAAGGGTGACATCCCTCAAAGGGCACAGAGGATAGAGAGGGACTCGGAGACTCAGGCCGCAGGGATCTGGTAATTACCCTGCCAGTCTGTATTCCCCGCAAGGTGCTTTCCATGGACGTGCCCCTTCTGGGCTCCAAACCCATGGCGTAGATCACACTGTGTCCTATCCTGGCCTGGCCTGCTTCCTCATCCAGCACCTGCAGATCTCCCCGCAAATAGGACTACTTCCCATTTTCTTTGACTTTGTCAAAAAGGGAGACTTTCTGACCCCCCAGCCTCCTGCTCTCAAGGAGCTAACCACCAACTTCACTCCTGTCTGTGTGTAAGGAGCCCACAGGTCGGCTAATCCTCAGGCCTGGGCAGTCACAAACAGGTCACATGACTGTAAAAATTGTAGTACAATATACATAACGTGGCATTTACCATTTATGCCATAGACACATGCTGAGTGCCTCTGCCTGTTTCCAAAGTCAAGCATTAGCTACTGGTCCCCCCCCCCCCAACCACTGTGGGCGGCCGCCCTTTACTTACTGTGAATCTGTCTACTCTAGAGACTTCGTATGGGTTGAGTCACACAGTATTTATTTGTCCTTGTCTTCCTTTAACCCACTCAAAGCAGTACTGCTACAAGGTACCCTAATAAAAACAGAACATGCCACCTGCCAGGTCCCCATCACATGTAGTGCACAGTGCCGGGCACATTCCCTACATGATTTCAATGAAGTCTTCTAATGAGCTTGCAGGGATGAGATGGGATCTTTTAGTAATCTCTCAGGATTATTACTCTTGTTCCAAGGCCACCCAGCTGGTGAAGGGCTATGCTGGATCTCCAAACCCAAGCTTGTCTGGCTTCCTAGCACCAGGCCCTGCCCCACCTTTCACCACATGGAACCCTGTCCCTGGCTTCTCCCTGTAGCTTTCCCATGCCAGATCTTCTAGTTTGAATCTTCAGACTGGCTGTCAAGAGAGAGCAGCCTTGGACAGGTTTGGCACTATGGCACCTGGAGAGGCAGAAGAGGTCACAGGGACAGCTAAGTGCCCTACTGACCATGACGTGCATGCTGGGCTTCCTGCCTCTGCTGCACTTTCTGCAAAACACAGAGGCCACCTGGGCAGCAAGTGCCTGGGACCCTGGGCAGGAGGCTTTTAGCACAGCCACCTGTAGGACATGGCATCCAGACCAGCAGGCTGGGTTTTGGAATTGGAGACCACAGTGACGTGGGGGTGGAGGAAAACTCCATCACCTCTGGGGTCTATTGCCTCAGCTGTAAAATGAGAATATGAGAGCCGATGTCATAATGTTTTATGAACATTAAATAAGATAATGTATGTAAAGTGCTTGGCAGGTGCCGCGCGCGCATTAACAGCACTGGCTTTATCACCCGCTCCATTGACTGCATTTCACAGATCCCTCTCGCCCAGGAGTTTCCGTGACATCTAATGTATGGCACCCCTGGTCTTGGGGTGCACAAGGTAGATAGATGCCTTTTCCCCATTTTATGGACGGAGGAGATGGAAGGGAAATATCTTGGTAAGGAGTATCCAGAACCATTTGCTAAGTAGCCCACCACCCTCCCCCCAGGCCAATGCCACTCTGAAACAAGACTTTCTTTATTCACCAGATGGTTCTCTAATTTAGTCGAAGTCTGTGAATATAAAACTGGATAGTAAACTTTAATTGTAACCCAACAGGTTAGAGTTTAGAGCTGGTGAGGGGTTGGAATTGGGAGACTGTGATTGACGGCTCCATGTTTTAATTGGTGTGTGAACGGTGCCTGGCCTTAGCCAGTAGGCCACTAAAAGGGGGGCCTGGTGACCTACTCCTTAGGACAGTCTGAACAAGAGGACACTTCCCTCCTCACACTTCCGACTAGTGACTTCAAGGGGTGGGCAGTACTGCTTTAGATCAACTAGAAGCTTCCCCTGGAATGTTTCCACACCACGAGGGAGAAGCATCTGTGTAGGAGGGTCACAGGACTGGGGGGAGGTCAAGGGTGTCAGACGGCAGATGGAGGCCTGGCTGTGGCAGGGGAGGCTGCCACAGGTCCCTTGCCAATTCCTCCTCAGCTCCCAGGGGGAGTGGAAAACAAGGGAGCCAGGCATGAAGCCAGCAGAGATGGCCCCCCTTGGGGAGCAAGGGACTCTTGCGGGTCAGAGGGCTGTTCTGAGAGCCAGGATGAGCTGCAGGGTGGCCCTGGCCAGCACCTGCTGTACCTGTCGGCTCTGGCGAGTTCTCATCTCTCTCCTGAGAACTGGCCTTCCAAGTACCCGCACCACAGCAAGACAAATGAAAGTGAGCCTGCTCTGAGAGCAAGCTTTCCACCAGCTTCCAACCCGCAGGAGCTGTTGATGCCAGGCAACCAGAACGCTCCATGGGAGCGCTGCTCTGCAGGGTGCAGGGCGGCCCACAGCAAGGCCTCAGGTGGCCTCAGGCAGCACTCGGGCCTGTGTAGCAATGCCCTCCTGTGCACACCCTACCTGTTCCAGGGCCAGGAAAGTTTCTGCCACCTCCCGTGACCCCAGGCAGACAGGCTTCCTCTGGCGATCTCTGTCTTTGCCAGTTTGAACCTCAGGAGCACATTGTCTCTCAGTCCTGTGATGCCCCAGGAGGTGGGAGGGTGTGACACCGACTGCTGGTCTGGCCTGATGCTTCTGTCTTGGGGACTTGGGAAAGTTCCTTACCCTCACGGGTTCCTGGGGTCCTAACAGGACCTGCCTCCTCGTGGGTCTTGTGGATTAAATGGGCCAATGATTCCTAAAGCCTGTGGAACAGTATCTGACCCAGAATAAGATCCAGGTACATATGATGTGTTTCTTGTTATCTTCATTTTGCTGGTGAGATTAAGTCTACTAAGAGTCCCGCCTCTAGTAAGTGACGATGATAGAAGTAAACCCAAGTTCCCCCAACTCTGAAACCATGCTCTTGATGGCTGCCTATGTGACAGTCCTTCTCAAAGACTGGAGGTAACTCCCTTTTGGGGGTCTGACACCCCCCTGGGGTGATTTTGTAGTCACCTTTTGTTTGCTCAGATGCAGATGCTGGAGCAACACACAGGTTGTCAGTGTGCAGGTCAATGACCTTCCCCCAAGTTAGCCCACCTGGCAAGCCAGCGTCCAGGTGGAGAAGCAGAGTGCCAGCCCTCCAGGGAGGGCCCCCATTCCCCTTCCAGACAGAGCCACCCCCCAAATAACCAATAAGTCTATTTAAATGGAGTTATGTAAAGAGCCCATCTGACCTTTCTCATTCAGTATGTTGGAGAAGCTGGTCCCTGTATCATGGGCAGCAATGGGCCATTCCCGTCACTGCTGGACACCAGGAGCTCCCAGGCTGGGGGATGGCCGACAGTGCTGCCCAGCATATTACTGTCCATGGGTGGCTGGCGGGTGACTGCCCAGGGGGTAGTGCACCCTGCTGGGCCTCCCAGGAACAGACCCTGTGGGCAGGAAGGCAGAAAGCTCTTGTGCCCCCTCCTCTGGATGGAGTGGGTCTCAGAAGGTGTCCCATCACAGGCTAGAGTCAGTGAGGTCCTCGAGACCACCGGGCTCAATCTTCCCCTTTTCTCAGGCTAAATGTAGGCCCCTAGAGAAGTGAAGGGACTTATCCACGGTTGCCTAGCAGAAGGGGGCAGAGTCCATGTGGAACCCAGAAATCTTGACTCAGACCACAGGACCCATGGGGCGGGGAGGGCAGGGTGTTGGGTTAGCTAGAGGCTCAGTCCTGGTGACCCATCAGCAGGGTGCCAGCCACAGCAGCCCCGACGTGGCACCTGGTCAGCTCCGCACCACCATCAGGGAGGAGCTCAGGCCCCAGAGCCCAGCAGATGTTCAAATCGCAGAAGCGCCGTGTTAATGAACTGTGGCTAGTTCTGTCCTCAGCTGGATGGTCTCTAAACGGGAGGTAAAGACCTGTCGTGGCTGAGTACAGTGCCGGGCTCCTGGGGATGGACAGCATTAGCCAGCTGCCGCTATAGCGATGGGTGAGAGGTGGGGTGGGACCCTCCAGCTCCCGCGGGAGGTCGCCAGGGCATCCTTGGCCTTTCCCGCAGGTCCCGGGCTACCGGCAGGAGCGCGTGGAGAAAGGCCTGAAGCTCTTCGCGCAGCTCATCAACAACAAGGTGTTCCTGCTGTCCTTCATCCGCACGCTCGAGTCCCAGCGCAGCTTCTCCATGCGCGACCGCGGCAACGTGGCCTCGCTCATCATGACCGTCCTGCAGAGCAAGCTGGAGTACGCCACCGACGTGCTGAAGCAGCTGCTGGCCGACCTCATCGACAAGAACCTGGAGAGCAAGAACCACCCCAAGCTGCTGCTCAGGAGGTGAGGGTGTGGCCCAGGGTGGCAGCCGCGCGTCTGAGCATCCCCTGCTGGCCTCCTCCAGGCTGAGCCACCTGGCTCCTGGAGCCTCCCAGAGACCAGAGGAGGCTGCAAGAGGAGCAGCCAGACTCCCCGAGGGTGAGGCACTGTGCTGCCAGAAGCTGAGCTGCATCCCCAAGACCCCGCCCACCACCCACCACCCACCATCCAGCGCCCTCCTAGAAGCCCCTGCCCGTCACAAGGGTGCCTATTGGCTCACCCTCTGGTTTTCTTCCACCTGTATCTGCTTTCCACTTGACTTTATCTGCCCTTCCTCTCCCTGGATTTTGATGCTTTCTACTGCAATTCTTCTCTGTGGATACTTCAGAGGTCATTTATGCCAATCTCTGGCCTCCTTTAAGCCAGAGCTGGAATTAGGAGAGAGACCCCATGGCTTCTTGCTGCCCAGGGCCCAGCAGCAGGTAAAGCATCCAGGAGCTAGTTAGAAATGCAAAATCTGAGGTCTCCCCCAGACCCTGAATCAGAATCTGCATTTTAACGAGGAACCCAGGTGGTTCCAATGCGCAGTAGAGTTGGAGAAGCACCGAGCGCAGACCTTTTGGTAGCCACTTACCCAGTGCAGCCCAGCAGGTATTTCCTGATCCTTGCTGTTGGCTCTGAATAGGTCCATGGTGCACCTGCAGCTCCTATAGCACGCTGTTCAAACCAGAAAGGGCAGATGTGCACACGTGCCCATGCCCTGGCCTGTGGCTGCAGCCTCGCTCCTCCGGGCTACGTGACTCCAATGTCTGTTTCCTTGGAGGATCTAAAGTTACAAAACTCCCATGTGAAGTGGTCACGGCCAGCCCTCTGCCCAGACCAGCTGTTGGTCTCTGCCTCTCTACCTGGCCCTTAACTTTCACCCTGGGTCTCTGGCCTCAGTGGCCCCTGCTTGGTCCTGCGGATAGATCTGGCTTTAGAAGTGTTCGCTTCAGGCTTTTTCCTGGTACAGCGGGCACTCACTGGCACAGATGCAAAAGGTGGCTGCATAGACAGGCAGTCATCCAGCTTTGGAAACAGCAAGGTGGATCATTTTGGTTTTTGTTTTACTTCCACCACGGAGCCACCCACCGGCGTAATTCTAGGTTGCTGCTGCCAGCCAGAGCTCCCACCAATTTCCTGGTGGGGTCTGTCTCCCCGGCTTGTTTTCCTCTCCCACTCCCCCATGCCCCTGCGCCTTCTGCCCTCCTCCTCCTCTCTCTCCTTCTTGCCCCTGGCTGCCCACTTCTTTCAATATTCTTCTTGTTTCTCTTCACCTTCACTTTGGGCTGGCAGAGGCCCAAAGGCTTTGGAATTTTAGTTACTAAGTATTTTCTGTCAACTGCAACTTTAAACTCCATATAAACATATGTGGATGGCAAACAGGTGGACGGGCTGGTTTTACTCTGGAGCTGGCCATGCACTCAGCACAAGTTTGAATGTAATCTGTTTTCTCTAAATGGATGCAACCACAAATAATACCATTGCTGTTGCATCTTCACTTAAAAGAATAAGTGGGCTTGGATTGTAGCATGAAAGAGGAAAAGGAGACTCAAGAAGGCACTTCCTCTCATTGCAAATCAAACTCCAGAAGGGTTTCCAGAGGAAGTTCCAAATTATGTGGAAGCCTTCGAAACAGGATGATTTTGACGTCTTGTGGGATGAACTAGGTTTACAGCTCCATGTGGCCCTCCATGCTTGGAGTCTTTAACTTGGGTTATGAGCTCCATCTGGATTATCTGGCCTTTTTTTGGCCATCACTTCCCCTGCTATTTTCTTTGATTTCCGCTGCCAAATTAGGATCTCCCCTGATTTTGTTTGCTCACGCAAAGTTCTCTAAGGCTGGGCTACTCAATAGGAGAGCTGCCAGCCATGGGCAACTATTTAAATCTAAATTTGTTAAAGTAAATAAAATGAAAAATTTCCCCTCCTCAAACACACCAGCCACAATTTGCACTTTTGGTGGCCACGTGTGGCCAGTGATTACCACCCAGGACGGCAGGTGGAGAACCCTGCCGTCGTCAATGCAAAGCACTGGACAGCCCACTCTGAGCAGGCCCAGAAGATACCCACCTGTGACGTCACCGATACCCTGCAGGTCCTTCTCCAGCTTTGAGTAAAGCTCCTCTGACCACCCTGGGAGCTGGGAGTCCACGAAATCTCCCTCTGGGTAGGATCTCACGCCTGGGCCCCCGGAGCCTGAGCTGCAGGAGGGAGGCAGACTCCTCGCCCTGCCACCCAGCCTGCAGGTTCTGACCAGCTGCTTCTCTCTTTGTCCTCCTCTGCTTATTCCCTTGGCGTCTGATGACAGGACAGAGTCGGTGGCTGAAAAGATGTTGACCAATTGGTTCACTTTCCTCCTCTACAAGTTCCTCAAGGTAGGACAGGACGAGGCCCTATTTCTGGCCTGCCATGATTCCCATCTTGGGGACCAGCCTGCATGCTCCCCAGCCTGCCCCATTCCATGCCACACCCCCAAGTCCATTCTGGCTGGCCTCACCACTTCTATCCCACAAGAAATGGACTTGCCCCTCATCACCGTCTTGAAAGACAGGGATCCCATTTGGCCCTAGTTTCTGGGACAGAATCCCTCGTGGCTGGTTTTTTCCCAGTTAAGGGGCGGAGGAGCCCCTGAGAGGGCCCTGCACAGACTTTCAAGCTAAGTCCCCACTTAAGCTGAAAATAGTTCATCTCTTACTTCCTCACGTATTCCTCTTCCCTCTCCCAGCCCCAGGTTTAGGGAGGCTGATAAGGGTCCTGGTTAGGGACAGCAGCCACATGTCACAGCAGATAAGCCAAGGACGTGCCTGGGAGGCGGGAGAACTGCTAACTTCCAGTGACCAACCTGTTTTCCTAGAGTTCAGACCACAGAGGACCGAGCTCTGCTCTTGGAGCCTCAGAGACAGTGAATGGAGGAGGGACGGGGGAGGGAGACAGGCAGGAGGAAGAGCCGGCTCTAGACGGGTGGCAGGAGAGGGTGACATGGGGAAGACCCTGCGTCCAGAGAGCCAAGAGCCCACAAGTCTGAAGGGTAAAGAGTTACAGAAGAGAAAATTGGAAACTGATGAAGAAGCAGGTGGGTCCAGGAGAAGGCAGGACAGGAGCATGGGGTGGGCTCCGCACCCCTGCAGTCCTGAAGCTCAGCGGCGTGTTTCTTGTCACATCCAGGAGTGTGCTGGGGAGCCCCTCTTCTCCCTGTTCTGCGCCATCAAGCAGCAGATGGAGAAGGGCCCCATAGATGCCATCACAGGAGAGGCCCGCTATTCCCTGAGCGAGGACAAGCTCATCCGGCAGCAGATCGAGTACAAGACCCTGGTGAGCCGCCCTCCACTCCTGCAAGGTCGTGGCACACGGGGCAGGAAGGGGAGGAAACTAGCAAGGGCCCCTGGTGGTTCTGCAGCTCCCACCACCCACCAAAGTTCAAGTACGATGCACTGTGGGATGGGAGGCCAGGTGGCCTAGTGTGAGGCGTTGGTCCAGGGAACTTGGAGATGCCCTCTGTCAATCAAGGTCAGACCCTCCTCTCCTGGGGCAGTAGTTACCCTAAGAGGCAGCAGAGCTTAGCAGGGCCCAGTGTTTAATACTGTAGCTTTCCTTTTCTTTTCTTTTTAAAAATTCTTTCTAGGTATGAATGACAGTAGAGTGTATTTTGACATGCATACATGGAGTATAACTTCCCATTCTCGTGGTTGTACCTGATGTGATCATATAGAGCACTAATCTCCAGGATATATATATATATATATATATATATATATATATATATATATATAAAACTAAAAAATCTTAACACCCCAAAAACAAATAACCCAATTAATAAATGGGCAAAGGAACTGAACAGGCACTTTATAGAAGAACAAATGTGAACAGTCAACCAATATATGAAAAAATGTTCAACATCTCTAGCAAATTAAAACCACACAGAGATTGCATCTCACTCCAGTCAGAATGGCAAATATCCAGAATACAAGCAATAATAAATGTTGGTGAGGATGTGGGGAAAAAGATACGCTCATACATTTCTGGTGAAGACTGCAAATTGGTGCAACCACTCTGGAAAGCAGTATAAAGATTCCTCAGAAAACTTGGAATGAAACCACCATTTACAGTTTTCCCACTCCTCAGTATTTGTCCAAAGGACTTAAAATCAGCATACTACCGTGACACAGCCACCTCAGTGTTTATAGACGCTCAATTACAATAGTAAGCTATGGAACCAACCTAGGTGCCCATCAACAGATGTATGGATAAAGTTTGTGGCTTTGAAATCAGACAAACCCAGACCTGAACCCTGCCTGGGTACATTGAGGCAGGTCCCTAACTTCTCTGAGTTTATGTTTCTTCATCTGCAAAAGGGGATTGTAGAATCTGTCGGAATGGGAATAACAGCAGCCCTACTGACTGGAACTGTCCAGGGAATTGAGGGAGCCCAGTGCCCAGGTGGGGATGGCAAGCAGGCGTTCACTCCCGCTGGCTCAGGCCAGCCTTCCCGCATGGCTATTCCTCCACCTCCTGGCTGCCCACTGTCCTTCTGTGCCCAGGGCGACCCTCAGACTTTTTTGGGGAGAACTGTGATATCCTACCAGGTCTTTTTCTCCAAGAAAGAGGAGAGGAAGTGGAAGGAGGAAGGAGTACACAAAACGTGTTGGGGGTGAAATCCAGGTGCCCCCCAAGAATGTTAGCAAAAGAGACAGCCAGGGAGTGAAGGGCACAGGGAATCGATGGAATTAAAATGGAATCAGCAGGACACCAGACAATGGTGGCAGGAGGAAGGGAGGGGGTGTAGCAGAGCTGGGAGACACAGATGCTCTGAGCCCAGGGTTGGGATGACCCCACAGCCTGCGGCCAGCTGGGGAGATGGTCCCCACCTCTGGACACATCTGTCCCTCCTGGCTGGAGGGCTGTGACCACAATTCACCCACCCCACCCCCATCTTCTGAGAGCCCTGGGGTATCCCAGAAGATTTCTGGACAGATTTACCAGGATTGGCTCCCTGAAGATTCAAAGGCATCACCTGCCAGGGAGGCCCCTCATGGCTGCCTCTGCTCCCGAGGACAGTTAGAGACGCCAACAAAAATGGAAAAGTGGTGGGGAGGCCTTCCGAAAAACAGAGACCTGAGGGCTGGGGATGCAGCTCAGTTGGTGGAGTGCTCGCCTTGCCTGCGCAGGGCCCTGGGTTCAATCTCCAGCTACACACACACACACACACACACACACACACACACACAAAGACCTGAGCTGATTTCTTAGTAGGAAAAACTACCTTTGAGTCGCTCCTGCTCCCTCCCCTCCCCACCCACCCCTTCCCTCCTGCTTCCCAATATTGAATGCAGCACAAAGATGGTGATAATGCTCCCCCACAGGTTGCAGCAGGCTTTGTTCCGAGGTCAGAGGACTGCCTCAGAGAGAATGTGAGGAAATTGGAGTGGGTCAGGGCCGAGTGTCCATTAAGGTGGAAACACTACAGACAGGCGGGAGAAAAGGGGGAAGAAACTGTGATTGTTTCTCCTGGAGTAGACCCGGCTGCGGGGAGATTGCCTGGGCCCCTCGAGGCCCGGGGGAGGGAGTTCCCCCATGTGGAGGGGAGGGGAGAGGAAGGTGCCCGGTGCCATGGCAGCAGCTGGACAGAGTCCAGGTGAGCTGCTCAGATACGAAGATGGGACCTGGTGGGGTTCTGCAGTGGCTGGAGGAGCCTTTAGGGGAACCTTGAGTAGGACCCTTGCGCTGGGCAGGAGGGTCAACGGATGGCTCTGAGAGACTCAGGGGGAGACCAAAGTGCACTTCTTTAAGTCCGGTGCATCTCCCAAGTGTTTGATTAAATTGATGCTCTAGAACTTGGCCTGGCATGTCCCAGGGCCCTGCTACTGGGAATGCCCCAGGACCCGCATCAGTAGTGTCTTGGAGCCTGCTAGGGTGCTGGGTGTCCCCTGGGAGCCTGCTAGAAACGAGGTACTCTCCCAGGAGCCCACTGTAGTGCTAGGTGCCCCCTGAGAGTCAGCTGAAGTGCTAGATGCCCATCTGGGAGCTTGCTAGAGTGCTGGGGGCCCCCTGGGAGCTCACTAGAGGGTTCCATGCTCACGTGGGAGCCTGCAGGAGCACTCTACAGTCACCTGGAATCCTGCTGGGGTGCTAGATGCCCTCCTGGGAACTTGCTAGAATGCAGAATCCTAGGCCCCACCATGGACCTCCTGGACCAGAATCTGTGCCCTGCCCACGAGATTCTATCCACAAGAAAGTTCACGGGCACTTCCCAGCCCAGAGGGCCCCAGGGCATTTGTTCAGTAAGTAGCCGAGGAGCACAGGGGCCGGGAACTTCCGAGACTGTGCTGCGACCTGTGGCCAGGGGTCAGGGCCTCCGCTCTGGAAGGCTGGTCCTGGCCCTGAAGTACGCTGTGCAGCTGTTCCCCTGAGGCCACCCTGAACCTCTGGGGCAGGAGAGATGCCAGGAGCTCACCCGCAGGTGGCGGCCCCTGCCCCATGGTCTCTCCTGGGAAGAAGGCTGGAAAAGCCCTGCTCTGCCTGGGGGACATGGCGCCACACTCCTGGCCTCAGGGCAGGACAGCAGGGGCAGCCAGAGCAGCAGGAAGGGTCAGGCCTGACCGCTGAGCAGGAGGGAGGGCTGCTGGGAGGCCCCGGAGGAGGGAGTAGCCAGGCGAAGGCACATGTGGACACGTGGTCCAGGGGTCCTGCCGACATGTCTCCAGTTTGGGGCGCATTGAGGATGAGTGTGGTTTATAGATTCAGAGGATTCTTTTTCTCTGTGGAATAAGTGGGTTCCCCCCTTGAGCTCATAACAGCCCCGTTGCTAATGAAAGGCAGCCGTCCAGCGCCGGGGGGCTGATTGCCAACACGTGGAGCGCGAGGGGCTAGGGTCTGGCTCTGCGAGCCACATGGGGCCCCTGGGAAAGGGTTCTGGGGAGGGGGAGGGAGGAGAAGTCCCCAGCAGGAGAACAGCACACGGAGGGCGCAGGCTCTGGGGCCAGAGGAGAGTCGGGGCCCAGAGAGCCTAGCAGCACCCCTGCCCCCCTGGGAACCCCAGGCCCCCCGGCTCCATCATCCATGCAGAAAGAGCCCACTGCAAAAAAAGTGGGGAAAGAAAACCCTGGAACTTCTCAAAGGACAACTCCAGAACTTCTTTAAAAAAAAAAAAATTGGTGAAGTAGCATTTTAACTTTTCTGACTTGTTCCCCAAAGAGAATGAGCCAGACGGTGGCCTTGTCTCCGACCAGGTTCAGGTTCAGAGCCAGAAAGGAATCTCGGGTGGTCCTAGACCTGCGATTTTCCCCAGGGCACCTTTTTGTTTCTAAAGAATACATCAAGCCTCTTGTACATTCTCCACCTTCCCCCAAATCCCCAAACCTCCCCAAATTAAAGTTATCAAAGCTTTTGGGACAGGAGCCCTGATCCCATTAGCACTGAGTGTGGCCGTGTCTGGGAGGGAGCCATGAGAAACAGGGTGACACAGAAGGATGGGGTCGAGGGTCTAAGTGTGCCACCAAGACTGTGCATCTGGAGCATTTGGAGACAGGGCCTCACTAAGTTGCTGAGGCTGGCCTCAGCCTCCCCAGTAGCTGAGAGGAAGGGGAGGCCACGGCACCTGGTGAGAGAGTTTTCGTGAAGTTCGTCCCAACAGGCAGTCAAGCATGGAACCTGCACTCCTGCCATGACCTGGAGCCTGGGAGTTGTCCTGCTTGTCTGAACGGAGAGGGCAGGGCACCTGGTGGGGACACAGGGCTGGCGCCGGAGAGGACAAGCTGTACAGGACCCCAGGGGATCCCTGAGCTCTTCCTCAGCCTCACCCACGTGCCCTCTCCCCGCCACCCCCAGGTCCTGAGCTGTGTCAGTCCAGACAATGCCCACAGCCCTGAGGTCCCAGTGAAGATCCTCAACTGTGACACCATCACTCAGGTCAAGGAGAAGATTCTGGATGCCATCTTCAAGAACGTGCCCTGTTCCCACCGGCCCAAGGCTGCAGACATGGACCTTGGTGAGTCGGCTGTCCCCCTACCCAGGGGCCTGTCCCTGTGACCAGTCCTAGGACTTCCTGCTTCCTCAGGGCAGGAGCAGCAACCCTGGGGCGCAGGGGACGGAGGGACAATCAGTGGATGAGCAGGGGCATGGCTGGCCCCCTAGGAGCCCACAGGACTGGTCTTCATGGACTGCTGGAGTTAGCCAGAGCCGGTCAGTGAGCAATGGGCAGAGACGGGATGGTGGCTCGCTGACGGTCTGATGGTGATCTGGCCTAGCAGGCTAGGTCTCTGGGGTCCTCTGAGTGACCAAAGGCTGGGAGTAGTGGTGTCGCATTCAGTGAAGGGATTTAAAGGCAAAAGCTGCTCGTCTGGTCTCCGAGGTGAGGTCTGGCTTCGCCCCCCTCTGCCCTGTGCCTGTAATTTTTGCTAAATCCCTCCTGCTCCGGAGATGTGGGTCAGCACAGAGAATGAGAGAAAGAATAAGAAGACCGAGCTAGGACAGGCTGCTGAGGAGCAGGGTGACATTGTGTCCAAGTGTCCACAGATGGCCCCAGGCCTGCTGCCGAGGGCCAGTTGTACTTAGATCAGTTCTGGCTGGCTTGAGTGTCTCACAGGATGTCATCCAGGGGAGAGCCTCCTGGGGCGCCCCCGGCTCTGAAGAGGCCACAGTGGAAGAGAGACAGTCCAGCATTGTGGGACACCTGGATTCGAGTCCTGGTGGTGCCACTTGGTCCTCGCTGTGTGACCTTGGCCATGTTACTTAACCGCTCTGTGCCTTAATTCCTTGCCTATAAAATGGACATAATAATAATAATCTGTTTTATGGTAAAAATCCGGGGGATGATGCATGGAGAAGCCTTTTTCATGCAGTATCTGGCCTTCAGTCCCCTCTGTGCGTGTTGGTTGCTGTCACTGGGGATGACGGTAACATTGGTGAGGGCAGTGGCTCTTCCTGGTGCTGGACAGGAGAGAAGGCCAAGGATTCCTGACAGCACGGGGTGGGAGACCCCTGACCCACCCATCTGGCCTCTAAGCTGGCTTCAGCTAAGCCACCCAGGACAGATGGGCCTCTGCGCTATTTGCTGAAATCCAGAGGGAATTTCCACTCTGCGGTGCCACCCGCACTCAGACCCTGATGACAAAGAGTCTTAGGAGCTGGAGGTTCTGCTCACCGCCTGCAGGTCTCACCTCTCCACTAACCCTCTTCCTGGCTCTCGGCTGGACGCCCTAGGCCCTGTGCTAGGGAAGAGAGTTTGATTGTTTGGGGGACATGGGGGAAGGGGATGGGAGTGGGTGAGTGTGCCCACGTGTGTGTCCAGGGAACTGTCCCCCGGGTGGGGTGGACGTGCGCACCTGTTCTGTGGCCATCAGGAGCCCCCAGACTTAGGAGGTCCAGGGGCCCAGGAAAGAGGCCACCCCGCTCCTCGGTGTCATTATCTGCACAATGAGTGGAAGGATTCCCTGAGAGAGGGGTGGAGAGGAGACGCCATTATCTGAAGTCCCTTCCTGAAGGCAGTGGTCTGCGGAGGTCCTGCTGGAATGCAGGAGGACACGTGGGCGGGTGTGCATGGTGCTCGGGAATCGGGAGCAGCAGGTGGATCGGGTGGGTGGGGACAGCAGGTGGATCCGGTGGGTGGGGACAGTTCTCCGCCTTACAAGGAGGGGCAGGGAATGGGAACTCCTGGGGCTGAGGTGGCTTAAGCCCTTGAAGCCCGGGGATGGGTGACCAGCATTCTGTAGCCCCCGCTGAGGGCGCATCTTCTGAAGCACAACCAGGAGCAGCCCTTCTCTGTCTGCGGGTGTCCTGGAGAAGCGGCGACCCGCTGGGGACCAGTGCTCGGGAGCAGTTTCCCGCCTGGCCTTCTCTGTGCCGAGGAGGGCAAGAAGCTGCTGGTTAGCTTTTTTTGGGGGGAGGGGGCTGTAACGGGGATTGAACTCGGGGGCACTGGACCACTGAGCCCCATCCCCAGCCCTATTTTGGATTTTATTTATTTAGAGATGGGGTCTCACTGAGTTGCTTAGTGCCTTGCTGTTGCTGAGGCTGGCTTTGAACTCGCGGTCCTCCAGCCTCAGCCTCCTGAGCCGGGGGAGTCACAGACATGCGCCACCTCGCCTGGTTTGCTGTTGGCTTTTGAAGACACGCCCTCTCCAGATCTGGGGGTACAAACCCCGCAAAGCCAATCTGCAATGGAAAGAAGGAGCACCTCTTGCAGTCCAGCCGCAGCCAGGGCCACCCCTTCCAGCCATCCACCAGGAGGGCTGCTGGGCCAACAGGGCCTGCCCGACGGTGGCCGCGCTCTCAAGTCAGAGACTGCTCGGGCCAGAGAAAGGCCACCTCCCCCTGCTTCCCAGGGCACAGTCTCCTCGGGCTTCGGGTCCCAGGGTCACAGAGGGGCCCCGGTCCCATGGCACATGCTACCGGGCCACCCCCTGAGCAAGGCCCCAGAGCAGGGCTAATGAGGGAGAAGCCAACGAGCAGAGGGCTCCGGAGCGGAGCTTCGGTTCACCAAGGGCCTCCTTCCAAGTGTCCCTTTGTTCCTGTGGAAGCAGAGTTTGGAGCTGTCCCCCGACTCTGGCCTTCTTCCTGCCAGACTTAGTTTACATACAAGGAAAACGGGGCTCCCCTGAGGCCCAGATGCCCTTTCCACACACTTCCACCCTGTCCCCAAGGGCAGAGCAGCTGGGTCCTTCCATGAGGAACCGCTGGACCGTCCTGCTTTCCACTTTCAAGAGTCTTCAGTAAACGACAGACGCGTTCAACACGCTGGTGTAGAGCAGGCTTGTGTCAGGGACTCTGCCCGGCCGTGCGCTAGTGTGAGCGTTGTGTGCACTCTGCCAGGGGCTAAGCCTGAGGGCCAGTGGTGCAGGTGCCCCGACTTGCCATATTTTCATGTTACGGTGGCTTCGAAGGACACAGCCCTCATCATAAATGGAGGAGTATGTGTAAGAGCGAGAGAGAGAGACTTAATTTAAGGAATTGGCCATACGTGATGGAGGCGGCCAGCCTCCAAGGTGAGCCGGCAGGCGGGAGAGCCAAAGAAGAGCTGAAGGCCTCCTGCTGGCAGAGGTCCCTGGTGCTCAGGGATGGCCAGGCTTCTGTTCTGTGTAGACCTTGGACTGATTGGACGAGGCCCACCCACAGTATGAGGTTGACCTGTTTTAAATGGGAATCTCCTATACACACACCTTCACAGAAATATCCAGAATAATGTATAACCCAATATCTGGGCACTCTAGCCAACCACGTATGGACAAATAAAGTCCACAGAACCCAGATGGGGCCAGCGTCTGTTGGAATTTGTGGAAGGAAAGATAGTGAGAGGGCAGAGATTGAGACAGTGCTGGGGTCTCAAAGCTCAGTATCCAGGTGACTATAGAAGCTGTACTCACCAGGCTATGTCCCTTTCCACCCAGGGCAGGGCTGGTACCTTCTTGCACTACTCAACTCTCCCACGAACATACCAGGGGCTTACCTGGGTCAGCCTCTGTGCCCAGCATGGAGGTACCCAGGAGACGAGGTCAAGGTTGTCACTTCTGAGCACCGTAGTACAGGCAGGACATTTTTCTGTCAAGTTAAGAGACTCTTTGTCTCCTCCTTTCACTCCCCAGAGGAAATAATTGATGCCACTCTACCCTTCCTGCCTGGATGGAGAATCTGCAGCTCAGAGAGGCAGAGTGTCCAGGCCCAGGTCACACAGCAGGGCAAAGGAGAGAACTCTATCCCCACCCAGCCCATCTCCTCCTCAGGCCTTTCTTCTCCTATGCTACTGCCCATGACCTCCAGAGATTCCTCTAGTTTAATGCAAATACTCTATCAATAGCCCCTGGAGCACCACCACCCCCTCTGTCTTGCAGCTCAGGTCGCCCTGAAAGGATATATTTTTTTCAAATAAGTAATTCCTGTGTGCAATAAAAAGATACACTATCTTCTGAGTGAAATATAAAGAGTTCACAGCAGCTGTCCCCCGTTTGCATTTTCCGCTGCACCTGATGGGAAGGACAGATAAAGATAATGGGATTTTTTTCTTCTTCTTTTTTTTATTTCACCTCCCTCTCTCCCTGGAAGGTGGAAGTGTAACAAATTGGATGGAGAGTGTGTCTGTCCTTTGTACTTGGTGCCTGGAGCAGGGCACAGTGGCTGCAGGAGACACTGCGAGAGAGGTCACAGCTAGCAATTTTCTCTTGGTGCCATGCATATGAATACCAGGGTCACCTTCCCTCCTCCCCGTGGCCACCTGCCTCTTTAACTCTTCTTTGACCTGATGCACTTCCAGGAGGGACACCAGAGCCTAGTGTTCCAGATTCCAGAAGATCCAGGGACTCTGGCTCATCTCATGTCAGCCCTGCCTGACCCCCCAAATCCCAACCAGCCGGGGCAGGCGCTTCCCAGTTTACAAAGACTCAGTGCCTTAAATGCAGATGGTGTACTTCCATTTAGGAATTTTTTTTCTTTTAAGTGCCAACTTTCATGTTCAACCATTTTCTACTGGAGAACAGCTCATCACAATAAATTTAATTTTTTTTAATACTTTTGCAGACCTTCCTCTCTCCCACTTCCAGCTCAATTTTCTGACCTTCCCAGGGGTCACTCTGACCCTCTATGGCCTCTCCCAGCTCTTTCATGTGGAGCAGTAGTCATCTCCACAGCCTGCGACTTGGGGTGCATGTGTTGGGGGTGCAGTGAGCCCCTGGGAGAACGGGCAGGCTGTGAAGCTGGTCCCCGTGGCCACGTTGATTCCCTGGGCTCGGACTAGCCTGGTGGGTCTCCTCCGGCCCTTGCCTGCCTGCCTCAGCCCCAGGGCCTCCCGGATGGGTCTCAGGGGGATGGCAACAGGCAGGATTGCGTGGGTCCAGAGGAGGTGTGCCTGTGACGGCGTGTGTGCGGGTCCCCCTGTGTCCCCCTGCACACCTCCCCCATGATGGCCACAGCTAAGGAGGTGTCAAGTGTCCTGGGGAGCGTCTGCCTCTGGATATCAGGGCTGGTGGGTAGGGACCCCTCCCGGGTCCAGGCCAGTAGTGATGCCCTCAGAGTCAGTGACTCCCTCCAGGTTGGCTGCTGGAGATCCCTCCCCTTCCCTACGCCCAGATTCTCACTGCCCACCACACACCCCACGTACTCAGGGGCAAGCCCTGGGGCTCCCACGTCCCCTGGAGCATCGCTGGGCACTTCTGGTCCATTGCCTGAGCACCCCGAGTCTGAACCTCACCCCCCCCTACTTCAGCCAGGCCTTCATATTTCCACGGTGGACAGAGGCAGCCACCCCCAGTGGGTCTCCTTGTGTCCTGCCCCACTGAGGCCTCCTCTTCCCATCACCTCCCCCAACCCACCTAGCTCAAGTCCAGGTGCCCTGGCCTGGCACGCTGGACCTTTCTGGATTTGCTTCCTGATCTCTGGGGCCTCCCGGGTCTTCCTTCTCCCACGAGGACACAGTACTCAAGTGCTGCCTTTGGACCCATCCGCCTGCTCCCTGGACGTCGGCCAAGTGCCTGCTCATCTGTCCTTCACAGATCGGCCCAGCATCCCCCTCCTGCCCAGCTGCCTGCACGCTCCTCGCCATCTCCCTCCTCCACGCCCCGTGCACGGGGACTTCGGAGGGAGCTCTTCAAGGGCAAGGGCTTTGTGCATCCCAGGTCCTTGTTCAGCTCCGTCCCGTGTCCTGCAGTGCCGGGCCTGGTCCACGGAGGGCCCCCATTGTGAATGAGTGAGGAGGGGGCTCTGAGGCCTTCCGGGTCCAGGTTTCCACGTGGTGGCCCAGGAGAGGCCTTGGATGGGACAGTAGATGTCCTGTCTGGAGGAGGTGTTGGTCAGGAGTCACCCAGGAGTCACCCAGTCGTGGCTGATCTGGGCATCTCCCCGCATCAGGAACCTTGGAGGCATGTTGGGATCTCTCTCTAGGCCCCAAGTGCAGCCAACACTCTCTGTCTGGAAGGCTCCGCACTCACCGAGCACGCTGGCCATTGACCGGGTTGTCACAGTGCCCCTCAGCCCTTCTTAGGTGGCCGCCCCACACAGAGCAAGGTGTGGGCATGAAAGGAAGTGTTTTTAGTACTCTATCAGCAAGTCGGGGTCTCTCTGGTGACAGGAATGCAGGCCTGAGGCTCAGGAGGCCCGAGTTCCACGGATTCCTGTTACTCTTATTAAATAAAACTAAGCCTACACGGAATCCGTGACCCAGAGAGCACAGAGTGGCCCTTGCTCGGGGGCCTCCTGAGGCTGACTTAAGCAGAGAGGACCAGGGTGCTGTCCTTCATGTCTCAGGGTGGCAGGCCGGCTCCCCCTCATCGTCCCCACTGCCCTTGGGGTCCCTCCCTCCTGTGGTGGAAATGAGATTTCATGGGCTCAGGCATGCAGATTGGGAGACTGGGCTGCTCCTGGGACGGCGTAGAACCTTTTTTTTTTTTTTAACCTTTCTGATATTTCAGAACAAAAGCACATGGCAATTTTTCTGTGTACAGGGTCACAAAAATAACCGGCTTAAGAGATCTAAGAGGATGGCCAAGCGGTCCCCTTGATTCCGGCTCACGATCCTTATATTGGTATTTGAGGAAACAATCCCAACGGTTTGACATGAAAAGACAAAAAATCACCACTTTGCAGATGCCCTGCCCCAGGCTGGGAGCTGGGCTGGGGTGACAGCAGGACTGGGCAGCCAGAAGGCCCCTTCCTGTAGCCCTTGAACCCGTGACCAAGGGCTGGCCTCTGTAGTGTGTCCAGCTGCCCGCTGCACGGCCTCCCTGGTTGTAGGCTCAGCCTGCGGAGGAGCACGTGCCACCTCGACAGCACGCCCAGGCACTGAGGGGAGGGAAACGTGGCCCAGGGAAACCTGCCAGTGGCCTTTGGGGACTCCTGAGTCCCAGAGTGAAGTAACTTTCCTGGTGTCCACCCTGGTCAACCTAGGGGGCAGGTGACCTAAGCCAGTGCCCAAGCTGCACCCACATCCATCTTCCCCACCAAGAAGACCCAGAGCCCAGGAACTCCTCCAGGGACCTGGGCATCCTGATGGCCTAGTCCAGTGCCCATGGAGCAGGCCCAGCTGGCTGAGGGCTCAGCAGTGGCCGGGCACGATGACCTCTAGGTCTGTCTTCCAGATCTTTTCCCAGTCGTAAAATTAGAGGAGTGAATGACAGTGATCCAAGAGCTCTTGCTGCTCCAGTGGAAGTGCCTGGTCTCGTTTCTCAGTTCAGATCCCTTCCACCCCGGTGAACAGCAGCTCTCAGCTCACCTGCCTGTGGCCCCCTGTCCACCGCCGGGGGACATAAACACACATGCCACAGCCTCTTTCTACTGCTTGGAAAATAGGCCAGCACTGCCCATCCTTGGTCCCCTCCAATCTTTCGTCCATTCACTTAGTCACTGAATAGACACTTCCTCAGTGCTTCCTATGTCCCGTACATCGGCCAAGACAGGCTAATGAGGTCATCTAGAAGCCTTGTTTTTATAATCCCAGGACAATCTGTGCTCCTGCAGCTGTCCTGGGGAGACAGGGCCATCCCCTGCCCTACTTATTTGAATGGGGACATGGAAGTCAACTGACTCTCATTTACTTACATAATTACTGGGCATGACTTAGGGCCAGAGTGACTGAGTATGGCTCTACAGGCTGTGCACTGCACAACTCTGCCACAGAGTAGTCCCACATTGGGGTCCGGAATCAGTCACCAACTGTTATTGCTCAAATCCTCAGGCCATGTGATGATGGAGTCCCCCACTCCATCATCAAGGGGTGCCAGGATGGCTGCTAAACTAGAGGCCTGGCCCTAGGCGGGGATCTTCTCCATCTAGACCTAGCAAGTACCATGGCCCCGTCTGTGGAGGAGACCTCCTTCAGACTCATCTGGGGGGCAAAGGAAGTGCAGAATGCTGGCCACCTTTGCACCATGCCCCAGAGCTGTCTCTGTGCCCCCATGCAGCCACTTCTCCTTGGAGCTGGAGAGCCCCCTGCCCTATCCCTCAGCCCAGCCTGGTCTGCCCCAGGTCACAGCCCCACAATTCAGTTGTCCAGTGTGGGTGGCAGCACCGGCCAGGCCACAGCATGCAGAGTGGAGACGGGATCAGTGCCTTCTGTATCACAAATGTGGCCAATGGGGGACCCGAAGCTGGCCTTCGCCAGAGGGAAATGAGGTAGGGAATATGAAAACAAGTCTCCATGGTTCTTGGGGGAAGAAATCCTTGGCAGGTCAGGCAGAGACGGCCGGGCGACTCCGGGCGGCAGCCACCTGCGCTCTGCCCGAGCCTGGTGTTTTCTGCACGTCTCAGACGCGTCAGCTGCCAGCCAGTGAGCCGGGCCTGGGCTGCCTGGAAACCAGATCTCTGGCTTCTCCACTGGAACATGTTGCATTTGAATTTAAGAGACTGCTTTTGCAGTTGGGTGCGTGCTTGTGAGAGTGGTGTGTGTGCGCGTGTACCAAGCGTGAGAGCTGGCGTGCACGTGAATTTCCATGTGCGTTCATTTCAAGACCGGAACGTGCCCTTCCCCATCTGCACAGGATTTGTGCTAAGCAGGGTGCTGGGACCTGGTTGATGGGAAGCAGCCCCCTATTCTCCCATGTGTGACCCATCAGGGAGCACTTGTGTTACTGGCTCTAGGGCCCCCGGGGAGAAGGGGGTGTGTACCTACAACATGGAAATCACTGGGTAGGTTACAAGGTTCTATTATCCGCATCAGCTTTGTGGGGCTAGGGGTCCTTCTGGGCATGAGAATGGGTCTGCATGCTTTTGCCTAGTCCCCCTTCCACCTGCCAGCTTTAGAGTACAGGACACACTTGGAACAGGTGTACAGTGACGACATCTGCAGCATTGGTCTCACCGGCTCTGGGAGTTGACAATCAAGCACACACATGGCGGGCACTCCGCGACGACAGCGCCTCTCACCTGCTCACCGCTCTGGTGTGTTGTGGAGCGCTCGTTCATTCAGCCAGTGCCTATTGAGCATCTCCTCCTTGCAGACGGGGCCCCTTACAGCAAACAGGTGGCAGGGGAGGACGGGGCTGTTATCCCTGTTTGGGGCACATGGTGGTTGGGATTAGCACCTTGACTGGAACTTGGCCACTCTGCGCTGAGGACCTCTGCACTGGTCCTCACAGGAGCACGTTGGCCCCTGTCTACCTGTGAGTGCATCCTGGAGATGGCCCTGTGCGGGTGCCCACAGAGCAGTCCTCGGGATCCCCCAGGAGGGGCCAGAAGGCTTCTCTGAGATGCCACCTCTCCCCCTGCAGAGTGGCGACAAGGGAGCGGGGCGAGAATGATCCTGCAGGATGAAGACATCACCACCAAGATCGAGAACGACTGGAAGAGACTCAACACCCTGGCCCATTACCAGGTGAGGTGGACGTGGACAACAGGAAGTGGACAAATAGATAGCGCTTCCTTGGATGTCTCAGGCCTTAGATTACAGGGTCATCCTAAGACTAGGCACCAAGCCCCCAACCCACTTCTTCACCACTGGTCCATGTTCCTTTGGGGACTCAGGAGAAACTAATCCCACCCAGCCAGGAACTCCAGCCTCCTTAGAGCCAGGATGCTGACCTGCATGCTTCCCGCAGGTGTGGGCCGAGTCCCCAAGACAAGGCCTGCCTTAGATGTTCCCCTGCCCTTGAAAGCGAAGGAAAGGGGTCAACCTTCAGAGGCTCTTCAGCCGGGTGCTGATGGCCCCTCAGCATGGAGCTAATTCTCATGTGCCCCGAGGTTCCTTGGTGGCAGAGTTTCTGGGCCCAGGCCCTTAGACGCCTTTTCCCTGTAGGTGCCGGATGGTTCCGTGGTAGCTTTAGTGTCCAAGCAGGTGACGGCCTATAACGCAGTGAACAACTCCACCGTCTCCAGGACCTCGGCGAGTAAATACGGTGAGATCTCAGCGTCCACGGGAGGCGAGGGTTCCTGAGCAGCTTTGCTATGGCAGCAGCATAGCTGGAGGGCAGCTGGCTCCCGGGGGCAGGAGTCAGGGGTGAGTTGGGCAGGCTGGCCACAGGGAAGAGAGGTGTTGGGCAGAGGCGCCTGATTCCAGCCAGTGACTGATGCATCAGCAGGACCTTCCTCCGGGAGCCAAGGGGGGACATCCCCCCTCCACGAGAGTCTTGTAGCCCATAAGACACCTTTGTGGTGCTCATTATCTCGCAGCACGTTCATAACAATCCAGTGAATTAAATAATTATTATTTCCCCCTATTATGCAGATTAGTAAATTATAACTCAGATGCAAAGATGCTAAATGACTGGTAAAGGTCACACCGTCATTATGCAGTGCAGGGAAGGGGCGGCCCCCCAACTGAGGCTCTGTGGTGGAGGAGAAAGGGTGCTGGATGTGAGATCTAAGCCCCAAAGATGGTGCCGTTCTGCCACTACCTCTGTGCTTGGACTGGACGGGCCGCCTGACCACTGTGGGCCTCGGTGTCCTCATCAGTTAAACAGAGATGGAAAAAACATTCACCTCCAGAGGCTCGCAGATGAACACAGGGAACGGTCCCTGCACCCAGTAGGCCCATCAGTGCATCACATCTCACAAATACCGACAAGGGTCTCAGCCAATCAGTGGGCAGAGCTGGGGGAGCCGGAGGGGAGGACAGAGGCAAGCAGGTGCCAGGGTGGTCCCCCGGGTGGCCAGCTCTTATTAAGGAGACAGGCGACCTGCTCGTGAGCATAATTGGCCGCAGAGAGCACATCCCGAGAACGCATACGAGGAAACGTGCAAAAGAAGTGGGAGCTTCTGTTTTTGCAAATTGAATAGTTGGGGGCTGACTCCATGGACAGCATGGGAGGAAGGGCCCAGGATGATCTGAGTGGTGGATTGAGCCCCAGAGATCACGGAGAAAGCGTCCCCATTTCAGGGAATGTTCAAAACTGGGGCCAGAAGTCAGTTCAGCGCCCGCTAGTTGCAGGAGGGACCAGACAGTACTTGGAGTTGGCTGGGGCGAGGGGTGCTCTGGAGTCCCTGGACCTAGGGGCTGTGTGGCCTCCCACATGTTGGGTCGTGGTCCTCACGTTGGCAGAAAACATGATCCGGTACACGGGAAGTCCCGACAGCCTCCGCTCCAGGACGCCCATGATCACCCCCGACCTGGAGAGCGGAGTCAAGATGTGGCACCTGGTGAAGAACCATGAGCACGGGGACCAGAAGGAGGGTGACCGGGGGAGCAAGATGGTCTCTGAGATCTACCTGACACGCCTGCTGGCCACTAAGGTACTGGACTGGAGGACAGTGAGGCATGGAAAAGGACTTACCACCCCAGAAATCCAGGGCTGGCAAAACCCAGCAACTGGGCTCGTGCCCACCCTCTTACCCACCCGTGGTAGACACTGCCCACCAGCCCAAGATTCTTTCCCAGGACAGAGCCTCAGGATCCTGCCCAGCCCAGTGCTCCAGGCCAATCCCACCAAGGTGTCAGTGTTGACTTGCAGCCTGAAGCTCTGTTCCCACCCCCTCTCTGTGCCTTTTCTCACATACAGAGCTGCTGACTGCACCTGTTCACCTTCTTCCTCCATGTCTTATGGAAGAATGGCTTCTTCTCGGGGGGATCTCATGGACAGTCACTAGGGATGGAAGTCGGGGCTCCTTGAGCCACTTCCCAGCCCCTGTCTCTGATCCTGGTTCTGGGATGGTTCAGGCCTCTAGTTTCCCTGTCTCTCTCCTGGGCTCTGCTCAGCTCTCTGCAGGGCCCCAGGAGTGACTGTCCATTAGCTGGGCTGCATTAGGCCCAAACAGAACCAGCAGATTGTGTCTGTCTGCTGGCCCAAGTGCATGTTCATTAGCATTTGCTGAAAGTGCTAAAGTGGCCCTGCCAGAGGGTGGGAAACCAAACGCGTGGTTGGCAAAGGAAGGCTCGCTCGGGTCCAGCCATCCATGTCCTGTCTGCTTTCAGTGTGCAGGGGACATTGACAATTGTCAAAGACAGGCGACCGGGGGGAAATGCAGTGTGTGGACTCTCGCAGTTTCACCCAAGCAGGGAAGCGGTGCACTGTCCTCCCCGCACGCTCTGCAGGGCAGATTCCCAGACTGCTCCTCAGAGCTTCGTGGGTGCAGCTGGATCTCGTGTCCCCCTCCCCAGGGCACTCTGCAGAAGTTTGTGGATGACCTCTTCGAGACCATCTTCAGCACAGCCCACCGCGGCTCGGCCCTGCCCCTGGCCATCAAGTACATGTTCGACTTCCTGGATGAGCAGGCCGACAGGCACGGCATTCACGACCCGCACGTGCGCCACACCTGGAAGAGCAACTGGTGAGCCAAGGGAGGTGGGGGCCCCTGAAGGACCCCAGCCTTCAGAGATGAGCTGGCCGTCCTCCAGCTTCAGCCCCAGGGCCCCTTGTAGGCTCATTCTCTGGTCCCTGCACCACCCCTCCCACCCCATATTCTGCTGGACTTTTGTGCTCACTTCCTTCTGGTCAAACCTGTCTGTACTTCCTTCTGGTCAAACCTGTCTGTACATCCTTCTTTCCAATCAGTCAGTACATATTTATTGAACTATCTCAGTGAGCAAACACTCATGTCACAGCCAGGCCACCCTTACTGTCAGGGACCTCCCAGGGGTCTTGACAGTAGGCTAGACACTGAGGGTTCTGAGTTAGGCTCAGTTGTGTAGACAGACACAAACTGCGAGAGACAATATCTGTGCTCACCTGGGAGGTGGGGGCAGCGCCTTATGGTGACTTGTAAGTGGGGTTTTGCAGCAACCCGGGAGTCTCTGGCTGGACAAGGGCATTTCCACTCTATTCTATGTGCTACTCTCCTCTCTCTCCATGAACTCCTTTTCTAAGCTCTGGTTGGAACCACAACCACCTCGTTTTCCCTGGAGATCACAGGATTCTCTAAGTACGAATGGCACTCTAGGCATCTCCACGATGGCCCTCTCTCCTTTCACCATACAGCATCTTTCTCTTCATTGGTTGTGGTCTATGCTTCAGGCTGAAATTGCAAGGTCAGGCATCAGCATTCAGCACGTGCTGCAGAGCTTTGCCCAGAGTGGGACTCAGTAAATATTGATGAGACTCAGGGCCAGGGTGGCCTCTGTTTGGGAGTTCTACCTCAGGCAGGGCTGGCTGATATCCAGTCCCTTCCATTCCAGAATCCCTCCCTGTAGCTTTGCATGGTCCATGTTCCAGGTCGTTCTTCCCCACATCATTCTTCCAAGGCAGCGTGGGCTAGTTCCCGGGCACCTACCTTGGCTAGGACTGGCGGTGCATGAGCAGCCTGGGCCAAAGGAGAACACGAGAAAGTGGGAGTCAGGCTGGGGTGTGGGACCTCATTCCCTGTGGCACGCTCTGGCTTCCTGATTCCTCCCCTGGAGAAGGGAGCTCCTTCAGGGAGATTATAACCCCAGACCCGAGGGAGGATTGGCCCATGGAGCTGAAGAGTGAGGTCTATACTAACATGGATGGGAGAACCATCGTGGTGGAATTTTCCAATCTTTCCAACCAGCAATGCTGGGGTTTCCACGCTCTCCTCTGTAAGTCCTACCTCTCCCAGGCCTGCCTCCAAGTAGGTGGTATTTCCTTCCCCCCAGTCTTCTTGGCATGCCTCGGGGAGAGTCTGAAGGTCCCCAGCCTCCCCAGCCTCCTCTCTCTATCGGTGAGTCTTCCCACTCTGATGTCTGTAACCCTCTGGATATAGTAAGTGCACTACCCAGATCTTCTCTTGCACATGGCCCGGGCTGGGGAGAGCTGGTCCAAGTACCCAGATGCTGTAGCACAGAACTCCAGGTCCAGGCAGAGGAAATCCCAGGGAGTAGATGGCAGCACCAGGTTCAAGGTCTCCCCTCAAAGGACATTCCCCACAATCCTGGGCAAGAAGTAGTTAGTTGAGATTCATGAGATCCTCAGACAGACCCGACAAAGAAATTGTTTCTTTACTCCTGGCCCAAGGTGTAAGTCAGCCTCTCCCACCCACTCCCTCCGCCATTCCCCACCTTCTCTCTATTAAATAAACCTCCTGCTCGTTTAGCCTGAGTGGCTGCAATCAGCCAGAGATTAGTGGCACCTCTGATGTTAATAATATGCTAATATTTCATTAGGTGGGAGCCTCGTGGCACCTTGGCATCCCCTGTTTGATGGGCCTGTCATCACAACCTGCTTCAGGGAGACCCGTGAGAGGGGAACCAGAGCAGCCCAGAGTCCCTGTCCTGGGCAGGCCTTCTGGAAAACTGAAGAAGAGCTGTGGAAGGGAGACTGTGAGCTGGGAAGCCCTGAGTCCCTCATTCAGGGCTCTCAACCCAGCGGTTAGGCTGGGCGGCCACAACCACCCCTCCGTCACCCATGTGCCCTGGCTCTCTGAGCTGCCAACCCATTATTCCCTGTTCTGGATTTCTAATGACAAAGCAATGCCACGAAACCTTGTCAGACCTCAGTGTGCCTGGGCTGCACCCTTCGCAGGGACCTACTAGACACCTGTGAATGGCCTGGCAGTCTGGGATGTCAGGTCCTACTGCATCTACACACTTGTCCTCTCTACAGACCGGCTGCATCCAGCGGATGCGAGGATAAAGAGATTGTCCTCGCTGCACTGAAATGATGTCATTCAGAGAGTTTAGGTTTCTAAGAGGCAAGCCAAACACAGAGCGTTGTGACTCACCAACAGTGAGAGCAGCCACCAAAACCACAATAAAGCGTCAGGGGAGAATGGCAGGAGGTGAGGGGTTGGGAGCAGAGGGAGAGAAACAGGCAGCTCCATGCTGAGTGCATCTCGGCTTCCTCATCCCATCTCAGCGAGCTGGCTGGAAGCCAGGGACCAGAGCCTGAGCCAGGGCAGGGGAAAGCATCTCCCCATCGCCAGGTCCTCTCTAGCCACACACAGTGACTTAAGTACTGGACCACACCGTGCAATTTTCTCCTCCTTGTGTCTGTTTGTGCTGACTGCACCTGCAGCCTGTCCCGCCTCTCCACCAGGCCTTGCCCAGCTAGGGAACACCGATGCGTGTTTCTGAAACCCAGACCGCCATGCGTCACCTCTGCAGAGGCTTTGTGGACACGGCCCTCGCCGTGTGCCCCCTGGGTCCCACACTGACCCCTTCACATTGTGCAGTCCTGGCACCCATACTGCCCAGCATGCACCTGGTGGCGGGTCTGTCCTCCCTCCACACCCACCGCCCACAGTTTCTTGAGGACGCGGGATGTGTGGTTCACGGTATCCTCTGTAGCTGGCACGGTTCCTGGCAGGCAGCAGGTGCTATCTGGAAGGGGGTGGGGACACAATGGGACATCTGAGGGGCTGAGTGTGTCATGAAGAGTCGCTGAGCTACACTCTCAGCCCCAGGGCCTTCAGAGGCAGGAAGCAGCCAGTGGGACCAGGCAGGGAGTGGGAGGAAGCGGGTGGCTTCTGCAGAGTCATCCAGTCTGTGGCAGGAGGTCAGACACCAGGTCCAGGTTCCAGATGATTCCAAAGCTTGCCAACTCAATGCTCTTTGGAAGCGGAAGGTGGAATAGAGTTTGAAATTCCACTTTCTAGCACACATCATGGTGCCTCTTACACCAAGGGGAGGATCAGGGGTCCTGCATCACAGTTGGGTATCAAGTGGTCTCCAGTACCTTTCAGTATTGCATCTCTGCACGAGTGATTGACCTTGCTAATCTGCAGTTTCCTGGGAGGTAACTGGAGCCCAGGAGAGCAGCCCCACACCCCATCCCTGCACACCCCGTCTCTGGCCTAGAGAAGGCACCTGAGCATCAGGAGTTGCCTAGCCACCTCCTGTTCTCCAGAGAACCCTCCAGCCACATCACAGCTCGCTGCCCCCTGGCCCCTGACCCTCTGCCCCTTCCTCCACACAGCCTCCCCCTGCGGTTTTGGGTCAACATGATCAAGAACCCGCAGTTTGTGTTTGACATCCATAAGAACAGCATCACGGACGCCTGCCTCTCCGTGGTGGCCCAGACCTTCATGGACTCCTGCTCCACATCGGAGCACCGGCTGGGCAAGGACTCGCCCTCCAATAAGCTGCTCTACGCCAAGGACATCCCCAGCTACAAGAACTGGGTGGAGAGGTGAGTGTCGGGACCAGGCAGCAGGGGGAGGGCCCCTGGCTGCAGTGCCCACGAGAGGCCCTCCCCAAATCCAGGCTGGCACCTCCCAAGGCTGGTCCTGCAGATTGGCAGGCACACCCCACAGCCCCAGTGATGTCGTCCACTGGACAAGAACCGGGAACTCAGCCGGGACTAGCCTCTGGGCTGTGCTGGCCTATTTGGAAGGCCGTGGATCTTGATGACTGAAGTGTGTTCTGGGCCCAGGAAGGAGATGTGGTTCCCAGCTGTAACCCTCAGTCCCCACATACATACATGCTATACACACATGCCTGCCCTATGTGCGTAATACATGCCACACACACACAATCATATGTCACATACACTTGTATATACACATGCCATACATACATGCACATGCATCAAGCATGATCCATATGTGAATGCTATACATGTATGCATGCCCTATATACAGCGAGACACACACATGCACACACATACATACCATTCATAATCCATGCATCCATCTATACATGCATATCTACATGCAAAGACACATGTGGTGCATGCACCTATACATGCATGCTCTACACCTATGTGTACATAATGCTGCACATATGCGCATACAGGCCTCACGTGCACGCACTTTGATCATAAATGTGCAAGGTTCCCAGTAATGTCTCGCCACAAAAGACTTGAGGCCTCCGCCCGTCTTCCTGTCCATCTGTCAATTCTCCCATGGTTCTATGGGCGTGGCAACCCCGCCCCCTGGACAGTCTCCCACTGTCCCAGCCCCCTCACTATCACCTGACCAGCTCTTTGTGCCCTGGGTGTGTGATCTCAGCCATCACACCCACCTGGTCACTGTGTCTGGCAGTCACGTGTCTGCTATGGCTCAGACCCACCTGTCAGCTGAGGCTCCTGGCTCTCAGTCCCCGCCAGCTCCTGGTAGAGAATGTCATGGTTCATCTGAGCTGCGGCGGATCCATAAGGCGAGCACCTGAGCTACAGCCAACTGGGACTGGATGCATCCCTGTAGTCCCCTAACATGAGAGGACAGGAATTGTGACTTCCTTTCTTGCTGGTCAAGGTGAAGAAATATTCATACAGGATGACCAGGCAATTAGCCCAAGATGATCTAAGTGGCCACGATGAAACTAGACCCCAAGCCTCTTAAATAACTCCCAAATCTTACTATTTATGAAGCTTTCAAACAGAATCCCTGCCAACTCATACTGTACTTCTGGGTAGATCAAGGAAGGGGCTCCTTTCTATAGGCAGATGTCACCCCACCATAGGGTGTGGGTTTGCTGAATAAGGAGTTAATTGTTGGTCACAGCTCTCATTTAAGTACCTTTGTGCAGTGAACCACCTGCACACCTCCTCTTGGCCATTTTACTCTTAGACTACCTTTCTCTTTTTTCTAAGTAGCATAAAGATAAGAAATCTGGATGGAGGTCCACTTGTGGTGCCCTTTGGAAGAATAAAAGAAACCAGAAATTGTTCTTGCCTTAGTGATTGAAGACATAATGAACACTATCATTTCACCCATGGCAGAGAAAGGCAGTCTCCATCTTTATTCTAGAACATCACCTCCTCTTGTACCCAGGGAGGAACTGAGAGGGGGTGAGTCCTGGCCACCTCCGTGAAACAGTTTCTTTCACTAAAAGAGTTTAATTTGTCTTCTGTTCTGTTTTTCAATACCCTCCCCTACTTTCCTACTGTGGCCTGTGATGGATGTCACAACCTGGCTGTCAGGGAGAGAGCCACATCTTTGTCCTCATGTCAGATTATCCCGGTCACCCAGGGGGGCTCTCATCGCCCTCTGCAGAGACAGCAGTGCATCCTTCCCACAATAGGGCTGCTGGGAGCAAGCCCTCGTGTGTGGTCCCTGCTTTCTGCAAAGAAAGAGGAAGAGGCAGCATTTGGACTGTGGGTCACCTCTGCACTGATGAGGGTCACTGAGCCAGAACCCTGGGTGGTAGAGAGGAAGGAACAAGGGGCAGGGAAGGGTGGGGACATTTATAAGGATCCATGTAGAGGACACTTCCTGGACAAGGCTGGGCAGTCCTAGGTGAGACCCGTGCGCTGCTGGGCTAATGGTCTTCCTCTAGGTGGGTTCCAAGTGAGACGGCTCATGCAGCTGCTGCTGGCCACGAGGAGCCCTGTCGAGTGGGCTCTTTAGGTAATGGCTTCCATCTCTTATCCCAGTTGTTTCTTAGCAACCACGGGCACTCCCAGGAAAGTCATCTTTCTCTTGCTGAATGTCCCAAATCCTTTCTCCTCCCGTTTGGGAGCAGGGGTAGAAAGACAGAGGGATTGAGAAAGAGCAGGGGCAGTCGGGGTCGGAGCCGAGCACAGGTCCACCCTGGCTCCCACTCCTCCTCCGCACACCCCACGCTGCTCCGCAGGCTCCTCGTTGTCTTCACGTCTTCCCAGCCCTGTTGGGCTTCTGCTGTGGCCAGATCTAGAAACAGGAAGGAGATTCTTGGTTGCCCATGAACAGTTCTCTCACAGAGCAGGACTCCAGCCTTGTCACCGTGAGCTCCTGTGTCCCAGTTGGTTGCAGTCTCTATTTCGTGGCCAATAGCAGTGGGCGCTGCAGAGTCTGGTGGTGGTTTCATCTGATTTTGACTTGGAAGAGCTTCAGCGTTACCCCCGAGGAAGCCTTGGCCTCCCTCCCCAGCCGTCAGGAGATTTCCCCCGGAGGAAGTGAGGGGAAGGGCGTCCCGGCTGGCCCCCCAGCACTGGATGAGGGTCGGCCACACATTGGAATGCTATCTGTCACGAGTCTCGGCATGAAGAAGGCTAAGGTTTTAGAGACTTTAATATGCCTCCTACGGCTCCCCGTCCATCCAAGCTTATAAAAGGTGACAGCTCGCCTCGGAGCAATACCAAAGGTGAGGCCCAGACGTTCCCCTGACCCATGCGTCCATCCACTGGTCAATCATGGGTTCGCCATGGGTGTGGTGGGCACTTGGAAGGTTAGACTGGATCCTTCTCTGCAGCTCACAGTTGAGGAGGACATATAGGAAGGTTCTCAGCCAGGCCCACCGGCTGCCACAGCGGGGCTCTGGGAGTGAGGCCCTCATTCTCCTGGGCCTGGAGACAGCAGCCAACGGTTCCCAGGGGAAGACTTACGCAGGGCCTTGGAAGCGGAGTTGGGGGATATCCGAGTGTCTTCTACATCTGCATCCCCATCCTTGAGGTGCTTGGAGGGACGCCAATGCTTTTTTCTTCTTGAAGAATTTGGAGTATTCAAAGCCATCTCCTCTGTCACAAAGAGCTTTCCTAAAGGCAGAGATGAGACCTGCCATCCCACATGACCCAGGATTTCTGCCAGGATGCCCTCACCCCACTGCAGACGGGTTGATAATGGAGAATTCAGCTTCCCAGGTCTTGCCCAGAGAGCTGACCTCAGGCCCCCAGCCGGCCTCCTCCCTGGGCTAAGGAAACACAGCAAGGAGAGCTGGCTGCCGCCGGTGGTGGGACCAGACCCACCTCACAAGGCCAGTCCTGGGCCCGCCTTCCCGCCTGCCAGGCCCTGGCCAGCTCCAGGGGGTCCTCAGGGACTTTTCAGAGCACCAGTCCCTTCTGAGAAAGGGTGTGTAGGGTTCAAGTGCGAGGGGCCCAGGCTGACCTTTCCCTTCCCCGCTACCCAGCCAGCTGGTGAGAACACTTGTGTGAAGTTCATTAATGGGGCTTAAGTGCATTCCTCACAGTCAATGAGGCATCTCTGTGGAGGGTCCCAGGACAGGAGCCAGCCCAGCAAAAGTGAGAAGGAAGCAATTGTACCCTCGGAAGAGAAGGTGCCGTGGGAGTCATTGTCAGGCTCCAGGCTGGCTAAGGGGTGGGCTGGGAGAGCCCTGGAGGGGGCTGGGGAACGTTCAAGGCATTCGCCAGACCCAGCAGAGAGGATGGGCCACTCAGCTGCAGCAGGCCTGGGGCTGTGAACGGGGTTAGAAAGGCAGCCGGACTCCGAGCTCCACTCCCACCAGGGCATGAGCTGCCCTTGGCCACTCAGCTCCGCCCGTCCAGAACCTGCTGAAGAGGCCATCATGTGACTGGTCCACCTGGGGGAGAGTGTGGGGCCACAGACATGCCCTGGCCCAACCCAGTGTCCTCAGAGCGAAGGCAAAATTAGGGAGATGGAGCTACTCAGCGGGGACCTGACCTCGCGTGAGGGAGGCAGCACAAGGCACATCCAGGAGAGTGTCACCTGTCAGCTTTAGGTGAGGTGGTTCTTGCCTGGCCCTGGACCTGCTCCATTCTCGATTTCTCGCCGTCCCTCCCCTCTCTCGGATATTCAAATTTCCAAATATTCTTTTTGAAGGAGTGGTCTGGGCTTCTAGGACCTGGGCAAGGTAAGCCATCGTCAGGGAGAGCGCTGGGCATCTCTTGTTTCCTGTGGGGCAGGGTCCCCTCATTGTGGACACAGTGCTCCCCAACCTGGCCTCCCCTGTACCTCGGAGGCCACAAAGGCAGCAGTCAGCCCTCGGGCTGCGTGCAGAATGCCTGGCAGACCCAGCCGTCCGTCTGCACAGGCTTCCACAGGCGGGCGGAGAGGAGAAGCGGCCGGAGCTTCACTGTGGAAGGCAGTTGTGTCCTCTCCGTGGGACCTGGGCTTTTCATCCGTCAGAGTCTCTGGTTATCCGCAGGTGACAGAGTAGAACTGTCTGACGGGGCTTTGGGCCTGGCGACAGCTGCGCTGCGGCTGCTGGCCATGGTTCCAAAAGTGAGAGAAACCAGGCTTCTCCTTTCACCCAAGAGTTGTCTAGAGATGACCCTGGGCTGGGCAAACCCATCTTGCTTGGCAGGTGTGGGACACCTGAGGGGACAGTGCCACACGTCTCCTGGGGAATGGCAGGGATGGGGCCCCCCTGGTCTCCTGCTGTGAGGTGGGACACTGGCATTTGCTGTCTTCCAGAAATAGAGGCCATGGATGGAGACTCTGCTGAACCTTTACACCTGGAATGTCATGAGATCCCCGAGCCCTGTGCACGGGGCATCTGGGGAGCTGCTTTGGGGTGGCTCTAGGCTCTTCTAGGGATGGAGCAAAGGCATTGAAAGGGAGCAGGATGAGACAGGAGGGGACAGTGGGCAGAGAGGGTGGTGACGATGGCAGCAGGTCATCGTCAGGGCCCTCAGCTGCTCTGAGAAAGGCCATATGGTTAGTCCTTGTCCTCGTTGCCTGTCTCAGCAGCCTGTCATGAGCCAAGGCCTCCTGGCCAGCCCAAATGTGACCGGTTCCACAAGGCAGGTGGCACTGTGTGTGGTGTGGGTCTGGGTCCCCCCCACCAGCCCCTTTTGTCCCCGGAGCGCAGGTCTCATGCCCCTACCTCTGCCTTCCCTGTCTTCCAGCCAGCGACAGGTCTGCAGTCCCAGGGCTGTGGCTCAGGCAGGGTGCCCATCCCAGCCCTTGGCTGCCAGGAAGCTTGGTGGCAAATGGAGCTATCATTCTAAGGCTGGCCCTTGAGATGACAGTGGAGGAGCCCTGCAGTGTCATTTCTGCCAGCTTGTCACCCAACTCCTGGGAACTCCTGGGGACAGGTGGAAGTTAGAGACACAGCACAGGACTGATGGGTCCTGGTCAGAGCAGTGAGGGGTGTGGGCTGGGAAAGACACAGGGTCAGAACGCACAATAAGAATGTCCCCAAATCTCTGAGAATGTCCCCTATGCTCATCTGATGCACCCTTGAGTCCTGGGACTCCCGGGGCCTGTCACCGTCACCAGCCCTAGCACGACCCCACGAGCAAATGCCTCTCCTTAGCCTTGGTGCCCAGGTGCCTGGTTTGCTGTGCCTAGTCCACCCTGCAGTCTTCCTCCTGGTTCCTGATTCTAGGGCCTCAGAATAGCTTTCTCTAACCCAGAGCCCCGGGGACTTAGAGTGGGCTGGGCTGGGCCGGGCAACCACAGGGCCCCTGGGCCAGCCGTGCTTCGTGGCTTTGCAGTTACCTGTTCTCATTTTTACAATCTACAGTCCCAAAAGCCCAGAGGAAAAGGGGAGAAGGAACCGTCATCAGTTCCTCATTAGGAAACCACGCGGCTCCCCTCTGGCGGGGGAGTTGGGGTCTGGTGCATAATGTCAAATTGCAGAAATTAAAAATGTAAATGCTGGCATCTAATTAACCAGTTGACAGCAGTGCACAGCTGCAAGTGACAGTGACTGATTGCCTTCTGCCAGCCTCTCTCTCTGAGCAGCCCCCAGCCCCACCCCTCTCTCACTTAACCCCCAGAGAGCGGAGGACATCGGAGAAGAGCCACTGTTGGAAGGAGCCTTTGGGCCACTGGAGGAGACCCAGGCCCTCAGGAGGGAACCCTGCAGGGAAACCAGCAGCTGGAAGCTAAGCAGAGGCCCCCTTCCTCTTGACCCCCTCTGTCCACCCTCTGTCACTGTCTTGGCCACTCCCCAGATCCTTCTCTCAGTTCCTCCAGAGCTGCGGGAGCTTCTCCTGGACCTGACACAGAGGCCCAGCCCCAGAGGCCACTGTGGTCCCCACATGACTCCAGCTTCTCTCCCTTCCCATGCCTTGGCAGGTATTACTCGGACATCGGGAAAATGCCGGCCATCAGTGACCAGGACATGAACGCGTACCTGGCGGAGCAGTCCCGGCTGCACATGAGCGAGTTCAACACTATGAGCGCTCTCTCGGAGATCTTCTCCTACGTGGGCAAGTACAGTGAGGAGGTGAGCCCCGCCTTGCCCTGCTGAGGCCTGGTGGGGAGAAGAGGGCAGAGATGGAGAAGCCCCGCATGCCTCGGTGTAGAAGACCAGTCCCAAGACACACCCCCTCAGCATCTCTGCTGGGAACTCTACCCCCAGGCCTCAAAGACTGAGACACCAGGGTGGCGTCATTCCGAGCATTCTACATTAGTCCCTGATCTTCCCATAAATCTACACACCTGACTCTTTCATTTATTCTTATTTTCTTCTCAATATTCCTCTTATTTTTCCCATTTCTCTAATTCTTTTTGAATAGCACCTTCCCACTCCCATGGACAGTCCATAGGGTATGGTCTAGTTTTGTAGAGAACAGAACAGACTAGAAACAGAATAGAATATGGTGGAATAGAAGGAATGGAATGGAATATAATAGTAGCAACTGAACAGAACAGAAGTAGAATAGAATGGGATAGAAGAGAAAGGAATTGAACAGAATGAGAAAGGGAAGTGACCCAAACCAGCAGACAGGGGCAGAATGGAATGGAACGGAAGGCGCTTTCAGTTGGGTTCCCTTGTTGGAAATCTCCAGCTGGGATAGTCATCACCATAGATTCTGCCTTCTTTCTGGTCAGTATAAAGGTCCTATTGGCTACACAGGTGTAGACCAAGTGGATTGGAATCCAGATTCCCTGCATTGGAGCACAGCATAACTGTGGAAGATCAAAACAAGACTGGAGGCCAGCACTCCAGGGTCTCTACTTCCTCACAGTCTTGTCACTCAGAGAGGGTCCAGGAGAGTCTAGGAAACCCCGGCAGGCCTAGGGCCTGGTGTCCTACAGGTCATGAGCAGTACAGTTTGTGAACCTCAAGTCAAAGAAGAACCAGCAGAGCCTCTTAGGGGATAGACCCCGGAAACCAGTCCACAGGAGAGAGTTTCCCCCTCCTGTGGCAAGGCATGAGAGTGAGGACGGTGTGTGATACATCTGAGTAAGTGTGCAACTCCCTCATCTTGACCAGGACTGTCTTTATGAAATGATGGCAGTTGTTGGCCAGCTCACGAGGAGACTCTTGCACAGTCTCCATTAAAAAGTATCAGCTGGCATAAGATCCAGAGTTCTGGGAGCCTCCCTGGAGCTAGAATCCTCCTTTGTCCTCCTTCTCCTCCTTGTCCCTTCCCCTTGGGTCCCCAGCCACCATGCGTACAGCCCAGGTGCCTCCCGTGGAGCAGGTGGGCTGCCTCCCGTGGAGCAGGACTGCTCAGAGCCTTCCCAGGTGTGCCTGACTTTACCCTCTGCGCTGGGGCAGACCAGGGATGGATGAGTAGTCCCTACGTTGTGCCAGTAAGGAAGGGGATTCATTCAGAAAAATCACCTTTTGCCCCAGATCATCCAGCTGGAGACTGGCGGAGCCGTTCCTCAATCCTGCACCCCCTGAGTCTAAGTGGAATCCTGACGGACTGTTCCCAGGCACCACCACCACCACTGTCACTGTCCTCCACCAACCACCTGACCCCAGGAAAGGCTTGGGCAGACCTGATCCATTAGGTGCTAATGGCCAGGAAAGCTTACAGCCTCACACTGGCAGGGATATTTGTTTCTTAACAGGCAGAGTTAAGCCAAGTAATTTTCAAAATGTGGACATCCAGCCTCAGGCAGCTGATGGGGAAGATTCTCCTTTTTAAGAAGGAGGGATGAAATCACATTTCTGTGAAATCCCATTCCCGCTGGACATGGAGCACACACTTCCCATCAGACACGGAGCTCTCTGCTGTGAACTTGTTGTGACCAGAGCCCCTGGCCCTGGGCATCTTCAACAGAGCTTCTGCCTTCTGTCGGCTGCCTCTCATGAACAATGGAAGGCACACAGTTGTGCAGACATGACAATGTGTGTGTTGGCATCCTGGGCTCCTGGGCCTGTGGGCGCCCACATGCTGTGTCCTGTGTCCAGGTGCCTCCTGTGCCTCCCTACCCGTGCTACCCAGGCTGCCGCTTACCCAGCAGTGTCGTGTGTGCCTCTGCGAGTACACAACTTCCCACCCTTATGACCATGTCCGCTGGTCTGTGTATACCCCGAGAACACACAGGTACGCACCCCATCTGGTAACCCCTCCGTTCTTGTCCCTTTCACAGATCCTTGGACCTCTGGACCATGATGACCAGTGTGGCAAACAGAAATTGGCCTACAAACTAGAACAAGTCATAACCCTCATGAGCTTAGACAGCTGAGAACCGTCCTTCCAGGGCCGCCCTGGAGGGAGGGACACACCAAGCCGTGCCTCAGTCTAGATTTCATCTTTACCAAGTGCAAGTTCCGACTGGCATCAGCAGCATCCCCTGAGCAGCGCTGTCTCCCCGGCCCCCGCCCTCTCTGCCTCTCTCTGCCTCTCCCTCCTTCCTGGATCCCTTCTCGTTCGGTTGCTCTGCCAACACGCTGGGACCAAGCCGCCAGCCCTGAGCCAGGGGTGGCCAGGCCCACAGTGAGGGACCTGTCCAGAAGATATCAGAGTGGGGCTCTCCTTCCAGCTGCTCCTGACTTCATGCAGCCGCAGCCGCAGGGCCCAAATGTGGATGAGGAGCTGTGGACAGAGGACGTTTCTATGCTGCTACTTCACCTTCCGCTGGAGAGCCCCGGCTTTGGTCCTGAAGTTGGCCTGGGGAAGAGGCAGTGGGCTCAGTATTGTCTTCACGGAAGATGTCACGTGGCTCGCCCTCCCCACAGTCCATCTCCAAGAGGTCAGTCGGGGCGCTTCGCAACTGTGAGAGGATAGGCCTCACCTCCTCCATGTGGCTGGAGCGGGGAACATGTGGGGAAAGGGAGCTCCTGGGGGCTGCCTCCCACCTGTTGGGTCGACGCCAGAGGCCTCCTGTCCCTTTCCAATCTCCATGAAGCCCTTCCAAGTGTCCGTGTGGACCTGCCTGCCCAGCCTCCTCCTCTGCCTGGGGCAAGCCAGGCAGGAGAAAGAATAGCACTTACATTCCACCATGGAGACGCTCCTAACCTTCAGATCTGGCTCCTAACAGCAGGAATGTCATGTGGAGGGGGAGAAAAGAGAGTGGCATCCACCATGGAAGCAGCATCTGTTGTTCTCCATTCATCCCCAAATTCCAATGTGTCACCGCCATTGTCATAGGTCTAGTCCATGGCCAGAGCCTTAAGTGCTGTCTAGAGAAGGCATCTCCACCCTCCTTGGTCACCCTTCATCAAGGGTCAGCGTGAAATGCAGCGTGCATCCAGGAGATTCTACCTCCAGCCGTCTCCAAGGCTCCATCCCCACCATCCTTGAGAACTCCATAGAAGGCCGGGGCGGACAGTCCTGTACCTGTCCCCCCTGCAGAATCTGGTGCCATTGCTATGCAGATGACTTTGTCACTGGGCTGTCCAGACCTCCTTGGGAATCATTTCATGACCATCTCAGCTGTGTCTTCAGACATACTCCTTCCTGACCCCTTCAGTAGTCCTCACGGGACTGCCCCAGCATAACCTCACCACGACCACCACCAACCGTGGTCCCAGCTTGTCGTGTCTGGGAGGGACTGGAAAATGAAGCTAAGGGACCTGAATGGAAATGGAAGGAGGGACATGCAACTGACCACAGCCTTGGCATCCATCTCTCCACTCATCCTTGCATCTATGGATACCCCATTTTAGCCAGTCAGGCAAATGTGTGCTCAGAAATGTGTACTCGGTAAGCGGGGGCCATGGCGAGAAGTATTCCAGTGGTGGGTCCCGGGAGCTTATCATCTTGAAGGGACCTTCGGTGCTGTGTGGTCCACCATAGGCAGGCATCTCTTCTGGAGCTCTAGTGGTCGGCCATTCTGGGCGACCAGGAGAAGCATCATGGCAGGTGGTGTCGATAAGGATCCCACCCCACCGTCACTCTCTAAGCACCAGATGTCCTTCCTCGTCATCCATCAAAGTGAGGAAGGAGCCACATCATTTCCAGCCAAGTCCATGCAGCATCCTGCGCTTGAAGTCCCTTCGCCCCTTTGGATATGAATAAATGCGTGTGTGCGAGCGCACGTGCTCGCTCGCACGTGTGTCTGCCCCAGGAGTAGGCAGAGCGCTCCGGGAGATTTCTTGTCCTATGTAGGAGGATGTTGAAGTGTTATGCTTCTCTGTCCCCTTGCTCATCCGTTCATCCTGCAGCTTCGGGACATTTCAACACTTGCTTTCTGTGCTGAGTGCTAGTGGGTGGGGAGGGGAGGGGACCTGTCCATAGGCGATCAGGGTGGTCACCTGCCAAGGCCTGGACTTTGGTGACCCAGAGCAGGGCACCTCATGGCATTTCAGAGGACATATGGAAAAAGACACAAGCCACCTAACAAACGGGAAGAGGAGAATGGAAGAAAAAGATGCACTTGAAAGGAAAAATAAATAACCAAAGGTTTTGGCACATGGCCAGGTGGGAAGTGAGGAATTTTCTTGATCATTTTATTTCCTCCCAAGAAGTCATGGGACCTGACAGGCCAGAAAGGGTGCATGTGGGAGGCAGGCTGAGGAGGCAGCTCAGCCACCGAAATGTTTTTGCACATACGAGAGGTTGGGAGGAGAGAGACACGAACCTATTTAACACAGATTTACTGGATGGAAGCTATGGGTGTGTGTGTGTGTGTGTGCGTGCGCGCGCGCGTGTGTGTGTGCGTGTGTGTATATGGATACATTTTGATTTATTTTTTAAGTTTTGCACAGTTAGAGGAAATACGTGAACAAGTAGAAAAAAAAAAGACTGTTATGGTTTTGCTGAAGCTGTTATTTTTTACCTGATGATTATTATTGTTATTATTACGTTGTCGGTACAGGACACCCCCACCCGCTTGTTTTTGTGATAAGCAAACCTTCGAACACCTCAGAGAAACCTAAATTTCGGGAAGAAAGCGGAGAGGAGGACAGACCAGGGTCCTGGCTTTCCTCGCTTCTCCCTGGACAGGGCTTTGGGGAAGATGTGACCTTAATTGATGGTGTGGGTGGTGTCTGGTGCTTCATTCACTCACGGTCTCCACGGCCTGTTGGGGACTGAGAAATTGGGTGGTCTCCCAGAGCCACGACCCATCTTGCCCATAAAGAGCCTTCTTTCCTTTGTTTTCTGTTTCTTCTGTTTGGCTTCTTGGTGCCAGAGTGAGAGTTGCAGCAGCAGAGAGATAGGATGTGGTCCAAAAGCTGTTCTTTTCCCTCTAGCTCCTCCGGGAAGGTCAGACACCCCGAGAGCTGGCCAGCTGGGCACAGGGGTTCCCAGAGTGGGTGGCCCTGTGGGACAGGTGTCCTCGCAGCCTCCCACCGGGTCACCGTCCATCTGCAGGGTCGCAGTTCTGTAGAAGGAGGAACCAGGGGAGCTCCCCTCCACTCACCCCTTCACTGCCCTTGAGACCACAGGGTGAAAATCACCCAGCCAGGTGGAGAGGTGGAATGTCGGGGCCGAGGGGCTGATGTCAGGGAGGGGTGTGGGGCAGGGGAGCTCCGTGGGGTCCTGGATGTGAAAGAGTGGGTGGAGGAAGTGGAGAAAGAGAGCTGTGAGAGCTTCTCCCTTCTCCTGGGGCACACTGTCTCCAGGTGTGGACTTGGGCCCTTGGTCCTTCCCTGTCAGGAGAGTCCCTGACATTTGTTGGCCACTGCAGATAGTGCATGAGGTGAAATCGGCAATGCGTCAGTTACTTCCTCAGGAAAATACTTTCTTGCCTTCTTCTTTCAATATGGTCTTAAGTTTGGGGACGGAGAATAACCCCAGTGTCCCCCAGGCCAAGGTACGTTATAACCCGAGTAACACAGACAGCCAGAGGAGCCCCCGGCACCTCCCACCTAAGCTAGGGTGCCTCTGGGGGTGGGCTCAGGGTGCTTGAGTGGGGCCACATCCAGGAAGAGAAGCCCTTTCAATAAATCCCAAAGTCTGAGGCAGACTGTCCAGGACTGTCCCCGGGGAGAGGCGGGAGCTGCTGATGGGTTATTTCTCTCGCCCTGGTCCCCTCAAGCCCAGCTCCACTCTCAGCCAGGGGTTAAGGACCTACTCTCCCAGTCTCCAAGTTCCCTGGTGCTCACCTGCCCCCTTGCATGTCTGGCTGCTGACCAGGCCCCTCCCCTGGTAGCAAGTATCCTCCCTGTCCCTCTTTGTCCCTCCTGTGTACATGGAGTCACGGCCCCAAGGCTCTCTGTCCATTCCAGGACAGGAGCAGATCAGCCCTCACAGTTCTGTCCTCTGAGACGGCCTCAGCCCCAGCTCACCCCCAAAACTGCCTCCCTGAGTGATGGGGCTCCCCCCTCAGTGAGGCCCCTATCAGAGGAGCCATAGTCAATGATGTCCCAGATGACCTCCACTCTGAGAGGCCAGCCTCTGGCGCTCCTGTAGGGTCCTGGGTGGTACTGTGACCCCTCCGGGTTTAAAGCCTCTCCGTTGGCTCTGAAAGGGGGAAGCCCATTTCCAGCTGTCTTCTTTCCCAAGATGGAGGGGACACTGCCTTTGACTGCACAGGAGGCCCACCGAGGGTCTAGCCGGGTGAAGCCACAACTGCTACCATCAAGAAGTACCATTTCCTCCTCCTCCCAGCCAGCCAGGAGTAGGGGGGATGCTGTAGGAGGCTCTGTTCAGCAGAAGGCCTAGAGATGGGCCTCCTCCCCGCCCAGGAACAGCACCCTGTGGCAGTCTGAGCAGGTCCCCGAGGGCTTCTGAGGGGCATTTGTGGAGTGAGTGACCTCCCAGGACCACCCTGGCCAGGAGGAGGCCACCCAGCTAGCCCACTGTCCTGACTCCTCCCTGACCTTGTGTCCTGTTCCTCCCGGTCCCTCAGGACAGGTGACCGAGGGACCCTGACCTGTTCCTTTTAGAGAAGCTGTGGACTGTTTATTTGGAGTTCTGTAGTTGGTTGTTGGTGTATTTTCAGCGTTTGAGAGTTAGAAGGAGGCCCAGTGTGAATGCCAAGTCCAAATTCCTGGGGGTGGAAGAAGGACACACACAACTCCACCTGTGACTTCCAAGAGGATGAGGAGCGCCCCGGGGTCAGGGGCAGCCTCCCCTATGATTAAAGAAAGGGTCAGGAAGTCCCCCGCTGTGGACGTGCCAGGGGAAGCGCCCTCCATGGCTGCTCACACTCTCCCTGCTTCCCCTGCACTTTTGATGGACAGAGTCGCGATGCTGCCCCTTCTCCGCCCGTCTCCTGCCACCTCACCCCAAGGCACCCTGCATGTAGCAAATAGAGCCTTATTTTACAAGTGGGCAGCTGAAGTACAGCCAGGTGACAGTGAAGAGGCAGTTCCTGAGAGAGGCTTGGGGTCCCCAGAGCTTCTTTCACGGTGCTCCGAGGGTGGCAAAGCCCTTGTTGGGACATAAAATGACCACTCCTCCCAATGAGCAAGTAGTTGCTACAGGAAAAGGTTCAGACATTAGCAGAGACTTTTAAGAAAAATTTTTACTACAAAGCATTGCTCCCCAATAAAATGACTTTTTTGTTAGGGGGCGTGTCCAAATTTTTAAATTATATGGGATTTTTTGGTTGTAAAAGTAATACATACCCATTAGAGCCCCCATTAAATTTTTTGAGTAGACGCATGACTACCAGAAAGCAAAGTCAAACAAATTCCTTAACAAAAAGAACTTTCTGGAAAAAAAAAAAAAGAACTTTCCGTTCATATTGGCAGAGAGAGAGAGGCGGTCCTGGTGAGCAGGGGTCCTTGGCTGGAGAGTCTCCCCTGGCCTCCATCCCCTCCTTCTCAGACTTCTGTCTGGTCCTGGCTCTCCAAGGTGCCCCCAGAATTATCTATACTTTCTTATCAGCATCCCTCAAACTGCAGGGAGTCCCCTGCTTGGGGGACCCTAGTTCTCCCTCCCCAAGAATGCAAAAGCAAATCGACCTCGGCTAGGCAGCACCTCCCTCTGGTCCTTTAGTTAGTGACTTTGAACTTATGACTCAAGCACATTGTGGAAGGGTTCCTTATGAGAGTAGAATTCACAGCAGAGGATACCGTTAAAGAACAACCCCAAGGACACGTGAGAAACCGAGGCCACTTTACCCAGCGAGACCGACAAGCGCTTCCATGTGCAGAAGTCCGCCCAGGCCCGAGATGGGCTCCGACGTCCTCGTCTGTCCTTCCCGCCCCCTTCCCTGATGTTCCTGTCAGCTTGTTAAACCTTCCGTTCTTTAAAGAGAAAAGCTAGTTTACCTCAAAGAATCTTGTTTCCATTTGGAAACCAACACCGTCGTGTTTCAGAGAGGACGCTCCTCCCCTCCACTGTGCCCTGTCTGGGCCTGGGGGCCTCGGGGCCTGGAAGTCTTGGCTTCATCTGGCCTCAGCTGCTCTGAGTGAGAACAAGGCCTCCAGGCCCTGAGAGGGGAGGGAGGGAGGGACTGGATGCGGCTGCCCCCCTCCCCATTTCAGAGTGTAGGGACCAGCCTCTCTCGTCAAGCAGGGTCCTGCCAAGTTACCATAGCAACCAGCAACTCCCAGGTACCACCACAATGGCTCAGCAAGCCGAGGTATGAGGGGAGAGAAGGGGTACTGGCCTGATCAGGTGACCCAGAATTAAGCCCCCCAATGCCAGGGGGGAAGAGAAGAAGCAGGAATGGATTTATGGGTGGTTTCAGGAACTGGCAGAGGTCTTTGAGTCTCAGAGAGGCCACTGAAGGAGGTAGGGCAGGACACTTCTGTTCCAGTTCCCCCCTTCCAGCCACACCCCACTTCTGTTCCAAAATCAAGCTCCCACCTTGAACACTGATCTTTTGTTAGAACAAAGCAAAACAAACCTTTAGACAGCAGTGTTACGATGAGCCTCAAAGACAGGTGGATGAGATCCATGTGAATGAAGAAGAGGGTCTTCTGGTTTGATTTTTAAAGAAGAGTATCCTAGTAAGATTAAGCAAGAAAAAAAGATTTTAAAAGAAGTTTTTAAAAAAGAAAACCTATGCTATTTAAATTGGAGCCCAGTTGTAACTTGGTAAAGGCAAGCTTCTGTACCTTTGTTATAATTAATTGTATACCTGTGTATGTAAATATAAGGCATTCCTATTTTGCAGTTCAGAACAAAAAAAAACTTATTTGTAATATAGAATAAAGTTTATTAAAAAATAATAAAAATTCAGTTTGAGATTTGGGTTCTTTCGGTGACGGGCCAGGAGGAGGCCAGGGAGAAGGTGGGCCCTACGTAGGTGGCAACCCCCGTCCGTCTCCAGCTACATCTCATCTGAATTCCACCC